CTAGACCCCCCTCCCCAAGCCTCTGCTTTTGAAGCTGAAGAAGAAACCGGGGGCCCCTCTGCTGCCCTCCTCTCTCCGGCCTCCATCACGGGCTTCCCACCCCACCCCCCCACCCCGCACCCGGTAGACGGAGCCTTGCGGGTGATGGCTGATTTTGCAAAGGAAACCCAGGTTTATGAGCTATTTCCACCAATATTTCCCGCTGCTCCAAAGGGTTCAAAGGAATGGTGGATGAATGGGACACGCAAACTCCGTCTGGGCCGCCCTTCGTTTCCTCTCTGGCTGAGATACCTACTCGAAAGGGTTGCCATTTTGCACTGGCCGTTCTTATTGGAAAGAGTGATGAGGTTGAGCATATAATCCCCACTCATATTCATGTATTCCACGGTCTTTTTGCCGCCTCTCCCTGTAAGAAGAAATGAAGCAACGGTAAATCGGGTTGGGTTTTTTTCACAGAAAGGGGGGGGGGCAGTGGATCCCCAGCTGGAAGCATTTGAGGTTTAGGTAGGAGATGGAGGAGGGGCGCTTCTCTCCTTGTCCCCTGATGAAGAAGTTGGGGTCTTTGGGATGGGAGACAGCATTGAGGGCATCTGAAGGGCCCCTGCCTGCCCGCCTGCCTCAAGGAAGCCCCTCGTGCCAATTAAGCTCCTCAGAAGGTGAAGATGCAGCTCGCTTGAGCCGGGGCTAAACTCCTTTGCACCCCAGAAATGAGAGGGTGCCCCAGAGTCCCCTCCTTTGCCATCCTTCTGGAGCCCGGCTCCTCTCTCTGGCCCAGGGCTCTTTGGGTCCCTCTTAGCTCCTCTGGGCAAGGGTGCTGGATCCTGGGCCCTGAGATGGGCAGAGTGGACATTCCAGCCTCCGCCTCGCTCCTTTCCCAACCCCCACCAGGACCCCCGGTTCTTTGCCCGACGGGATCCCGTTGATAAAAGCCAGCCCAGCCCCTTCAATACGTACCACATGTAGTGGTGAGGACTCCATTTTCTCTCTTGAGCACTGGACGCATCGTCTTGCACCCGTGTGGCCTGCAAAATGATGCCAAAGCTTCTGAGGGCATTCTCAGTTCACTTGGCCTCTTAGGTAAACCACCTGCCCTCCCAGAGGGTCCTTCTGTCCCAAATAAGGGGGCCACCTCCGGGTTCTCCTGCTTTTCTCACCCACGGCCTGCAACCCCTGGGGACTATCGAAGGTGGCCTTGCCCCGGAGGCCCTTCCTTTAGTCCTCACGCACTCTCTAGAGGAGGGGGTTTCATCCTGGCCTACCAGACGGCCCTGATTGAGGGGGTTCGCCTCAGTCGTTCTCCCAGAGGCTGAGATGCCAGGAGAAGGTGCCCTTAAGGGCCCTCCGTCCTTCTTCCTTGGGGATCCCCCTGGATCTCAGAAGGGTCTGAAGAAACAACCCCGGCCCCAGAGCAGTTCCAGGCCTTCGGGGTGACTTGCTGGCTCCCAAGAGCAGCTCTGCTGGACCCCTGGCCATCTGGGCCTCATGGAAGCAAGCAGCAAACTGGGGCACTTACGTGGCCATCTCCATGGTCATTTTCAGTTCGTCCGCCGACAGTTGCTCAAAAGAGACGTGAGATGCCGGCATGTGGGGAATCATTTCCTTCATCTTCTTGCAATTGGTTACTATCGCTCTAACTACATAATCTCCTTGTACCTGGGGACCAAAGGCAGCGTTAGGGACCCAACTGGCATTTGCAGAAGGAGCATCTCCCCAGAAGCGTTCGTGCCAAGGAGGCTGCCCATCTGTGGGCAAGAGATGCAATCCCCCTGATCGGGAGGCCCCCTCCCCCCCCAAAATAACTTCTCTGAGGATTTCATTTCGGTTAAAATGTGCTTTCTGGAAAGATGCATTCGGAAAGAGTTGGTTTTATGAGAAATTCCATCCAAAAGCATATTTAGGGAAGAATTTTTGCACAATGCATTAAAAAAATAATCCCAGGTTTATTTATTTATTTGCCAATTTTGTTAAATTGAGGTCTCCTCCCAAGTGAGAAAGGGCCCCCGCTGCCCCCCACTGAAGGGGGAAGCTGAGTTCCCGTGCACCAGCTCTCCCCTCTGTGCCCAAAGGGGGGCTTCTGATGCCTGGGTTCCTCTGATCAGGGGAGGGCCAGGGAGGGGCACCCAGAGCAGGACCCCCCTCCCCAGCCACATGGACTCACATTACTAAGATCAATGTCCCCAGGTCGCATGTCCTGATTAGCCTGGACGAGGCAGCAGAGGGCGAGGCCCAAAGCAAACAGCAGGGATTTCATCTCGCTCGGTCCTTTCTCCTTCTCAGCCGAAGAATATTCTGAGACTCGGAGGCAGGTGACTGGTGTTTGCAGGGGCTCCTGCTCTTATAGAGCCCAGGGGGCTCCCCATGCCCTCCCCCACCCTCGCAGAGTCTTGCGTCACCTCCATCCAGGCGTGCAACCACCAAGATAATGGGGTTTTTCTTGGCTTGGGCCACGAGGCCACGAGGGTCCCTCATGGCAGGCTGACGTTCTCCAACCACTGAGATAACGGGGTTATTCTTGGCTGGGCCCCGATGCCACGAGGGCCCCGGCTGCCAGGCTGACCTTACCCATTGACCTTCTCCAAACAGGGGAGGTTTGTGTTGGCTCCGGACCCAGTGGGCATTTGGCCTGCAGCCCACCCGGAAAGGTCTCCCTCTTTGTTCGGAGCTGGGCGACAAAGGTCAGTGGCTTGGCTAAAGTGCAACACTAACAAGCTTGCGAGCAGCCAGGTGAGAGAACAGAGGGGAAGATGGAGTCAGGAGAGCGAGGTGTCCTCACGTGCTCAAGGGGTGATGTGGCACTGCAGAAAGCAGCGCTTGTGGGGAGGGAGGAGTGGGGATGAGCTCCTTCTCTGCCTTGCTCTGCTCCAAGAGTCAGACACAACCCCTCTGAGGAATGGAGGTTCCCCAAGGAGGCTGTGGGAACAGGCCGTGCCACCTTGAGGCCCTCAGTGCCACCCTTCCCCCATAAGTGAACAAGCTCTCAGTGCCCCACAGCTTCACCCCTCTGAACCTCTCTGGAGGGACTCCGTGGATCCTTTGGTCTAAAAGCCACCTGATCTTACAACCCAACCCAGGGTGGATCCCCTCGGGCAAGTAGGTCTCAGAGGAGAGAGCAGAACGGGTCACCCCGACACTGGGCAGCTGAGCCATCCCAGGCGGTCTCTGCTGTGTTGGCAAGAAGGGGCATAGTTTCTCCTTAAATGGGGGGGATACCCAAGTGGTGCCCTCTCCCTCTGCTGCTCCATGGGAGAGGCGACTGGGGCGCCCACTGTGAAGTGATCAGAATGTGCTGAAGCAAACTCTGGCTGGCATTGCCACTTTTTCAAGGACGGCTGGCAAATGTCTCAGGTCCTCCTGACCATGGACCTGGGATGGGTTATGGAGCTCTCAGGGCATCTGCAGGCAGGGCTGTGGCACTCTTTGGTTGCCAAGGACCTCTTCCTTACCATCTTTGAGGGCAGGAGGGCCCCAGGGGGCAGAGAAAGGAGAAAACGCAGGTGGGAGTTCCCAAACTTTTATGTCTCTCAACTTCCTGAAATGTAACTTCTGAGATTTATGCATTTTGTGCCTTAAAATATTTTTTACAGGCGTATTTAGAGGGCCGGGGTCTGCCTCGGCTCTGAGCTTTCCAAAGTCCTCTGTTTCCAAAGTTTACCGTGGCCAAATCAAATCAACCAGAGCTCCTTTCCACTGCACCCCCGTTCGTCCAGTCCTCCCTTTGCAATAAGCTTAGGAGCAGGGAGAGGCCACATGTTTCCTCCAGGGCCCAAACCTTTGTGAGATGGGCAAGAACACGAAAAGGGCTGCCTGGAGAGAAAGGCCCCTCCTGGCCAGAACTACAGTGGCCACATGTTCTTGGAAGAAAGTCCATATTCTTGGTATCCTTAAGATTTATATTGACTGTTTCCTGATTGATTATTTGTTCCCTATGACTATCATTAAGTGTTGTACCTGATGATTGTTGACGAATGTATCTTGTCTTTTATGTACTCAGAGAGCGTATGCACCAAAGACAAATTCCTTGTGTGTCCAATCACACTTGGCCAATAAAGAATTCTCTTCTCTTCTCTTCTCTTCTCTTCTCTTCTCTTCTCTTCTCTTCTCTTCTCTTCTCTTCTCTTCTCTTCAGAAATAAGAGACGAACCTGAAAAGAGGCCAAATCTTGCAGAGATTCATAGGGATTAAATAAAATGGGACAGTTTCTGTTTATCACTTTGCTTTAACAAAAGAAAAATCAAGAGCACAGCCAAGACAAGAAATCATGAAATGAATCTAAGCACCAGCGTTCTGAAATGAAGGGCTGCCTGTTATAATAAAGGATTGCAGGGCCACCGTTGGCATAACCCACCCTTTGTATCGTGTTCGTGGCCTGCTTTTCCCCCCTGGTTTTTCTTCCCTCTTTCTATGGAGACGTCTTTTCATTGACCGCAGAAGTACCGCAAGGCAACGCGGAATTGATTCCTCTCGGGGTATTGATGGCCAGAAACGTCTCTTCTTTATCCGCTGGGCAGGTGCTGAAGGGTGCTGGACCTTTCGCCGGGGCCCTTTGCCTGGTGCTGCTGGGCTATGGGATGAGGAAGGGGGGCGCCTGGTGGGTCATCAGGGCCAAGGATGAAAGCAACGTGGAAAACTGACAATCTCACATGGTTCTTTAGCACCAGCAATAGCCCTTAGACTTATATACCGCTTCATAGTGCTTTACGGCCCTCTCTAGGCAGTTTACAGAGTCAGCCTCTTGCCCCCAACAATCGGGGTCCTCATTTTCAAGCCACCTTGGAAGGATGGAAGGCTGAGTCAACCTTGAGCCTGGTGAGACTCGAACTGCTGAACTGCAGGTAGCATTCAGCTGAAGTAGCCTGCAGTGCTGCACTCTAACCACTGCACCACCTTGGCTCTTCCCACTTTTCCCAGTGGCTTTTAGGCATGTTTGCTCTTATCCATGTCCTTTCTTCATACCATTAGGCCACGTCTGGTTCACAGCAAGGTGTGAGAACAGACTGAAGAAGTGACCCTCTGTTTCCAGCCTCTCCTGGCCTCAAATTCAGAAGGGCTGGACTTTTCATGGACAACATCCATGCCCAAAGGAGAACTTTCTGGTGGCCCAAAGGCTGAGCGAGGAGGCACCTCCTGGCTATTTTCTAGACGGTTATCACAGCAAAGACATCTCCAAACCTGGACCTTTTCCTTCATGGGATTCACAGCACCTGACGGAACCGTCTCCCTGCCCGGTTGCGTTTAGTCCTTCAGCCATGTTGCCCACACAATCATCAAAGATGCAGTGTGGTTGTGTCCTCGGTGCACACGTGTCCCCAGATTTGAAGTCTGGCATCATTTGGGCCATTGGACCAGTCGTCTTTTTCTCCAAGTTGGAAATCTGACTCCTCCCAAAATGAGGAAGAATGAGGAGAAAAGCTGTTGGACCAAGAGACGTTGATCAACAAGGAAGCAGTTTGCGGTTTTGTAATTGTTGATCTTGGAGCCCCACTTGAAAGGGACGAAGGCAGCCTCCACCAATAAAAGCCAGAGAGGGTCCAGGGCAGGCGGCAGGCGGAGCCCAACTGGCACCATGGGCAGAGCTGGCAAACGAGCGGCCCTCTTCCTCCTCTGCCTGATGGCCGCAACCTGTCGAGGGGAGAAGGAATCCTCCTGCCCAGGTGAGCAGCTGCCACGTGGGCTCTGAGGACAGAAGCATCGCCACCCTTCGGAGATGAGAAATATACCTTTGCTAAAAAAAGGAAAGAAAAAGAAGTTACACATCCCAAACCTTCTTCTCCCTTTCCAGAAGCCCAAGCGGTGGATTTGAATGGCAACAAGTTGACCGTCCTGCGGGGATGCCCAGGTTCCCCTGGCTCTCCAGGGCCCCAGGGCCCCCCGGGTGTTCCAGGGGCCAAAGGTGGGTCTGTTGGCCAGGTAATGAGCTGGCTCCTGAATCTGACCCCTTCCAAATGAAGCCCCCCCTCCAGTTATCATAAGGCAGGAGGACTGTGCTGCAAAGGAAGAGCGCTAGGACTGGCAGAAGGGGGCAAGGGAACCCCTTTCTTCCTGGCACTCCAGCTGTGGAAATTCCCCTACCCAGAGTGGGCACTTCCCTGAGCTCAGCCCCTGCCCTGGTTTAAGCCCGCCCTGAAGAGAGGGGCTGTGAGGGGCTGCGTCCCTCCATAAGGGGGCCTGGAAGCTCACTTGGCCTTCTCCCAACAGGTGAGAGAGGCTTGCAGGGAATTCCTGGGGAAATCGGAGCCCCTGGACCAAAAGGTAAGGGGGCAGAGCGGGGCATTCTGATTCCAGAGTTCCAGGGTTTTGTGTGTGTGCAAGAGAGGAGCGTGTTGGGGAAAGGCGCACGTAACAAGGGGCATTAAATTGGGGGTTGGATTGCCTGATCCAGACGGTCAAGACCCCCAGTCCACCCCAGACCCTCCCCCATCAACTGGCCTCCTGTGTGGGCAGGGAAGAGGGCTGGGGGGGGAGGGCTCTGCCTGAGGCCGGGCAAGGATGAGCCAGGAGGACTCAGAGGCATCTCTTCCTTTCGCTCAGGAGAAAAAGGGGAGGCAGGAAAACCCGGAGAGAAAGGTAAGAGTTTCTTCTGCTTCTCGGAGTCCCTTTTTCTCACTCTGGTGGCAACACACACACGAATTTGCTTATGGAAATCACAAATGATGTCATTCCTTTCTAAAATAGTTTAAAAAGTTGATCTGGGGGGTCCCTTCCTTTCAAAAGGAAGGGACTCCCTGGAAAATGGCTCCTGAGGCTCCTGGGGGTGAGCAGCCTGTGGTGAGGGGCTCTGGGGGGCTGGAGGGAGAGTGTGCCAGCCATTTTGCCCCAGGAGAAGGGCACCTTTTTCTGGGGTTCTGCCTGGTTTCTCCTTCAGCTCCTTGCCCCACCCCCCCGCCCTTGTGTCTGAGTGATGCTCTTTGACCTTCCCAGAAAGTGGGGAAATTCTGGCATTTTCTTCCTCTTTGTCTTCCAGGGAATAAAGGCGACAAAGGAGAAATTGGTAAGAAATGTGGCCCCTCCTAGCAAAGCCAAAAAAGGCCCCTCGTTGAATCGAGTTCCGTGCAGCTCAGACACCCGATGAGCTTGGAGTAAGGCTTGGAGTTATGGCTGTGGTTCCTGTCTGATGTGGCTGAGCCTCCGTCCCACTCAGCTCAAGCCATGGCTGCATCCCCTCCCCCGGCCCCCCCCGGCCACATGGGGTGGGGGAGTTGTCCTCCATGGGGTAGGAACGGTCCTCAATCCCTAAGGAAAGAATGGGGGGCAGGGGAAGACGTTGGCCCAGCCCTCCAGAATTGGCCCAGGTGACGTCTCACCTGCTTTGCTTCCTTCTCTTCCGCAGATGAGGAGGGGCTGGATGCTCTCCAGTGCAAGCGAGGTGAGTGGCAGGGGGCTCCTCCCTACCCCTTTCTTTCCCTGTCCCCTCCCCAAATATTGGGGAGAGCCATGACTCGGCCAGGTAGTTGCAGGGTTCACAGGACCACAGAAAAGCCTTGGCTTCAAAATGAGAAACACAACAATGGATTTTCACTAAAATAACTAATTTTTAAATTAAAAAGTCAACACTGCAACCACTTGGCCTTTGAGGGCTTGAAGCCTGTTGCAAACCAGCTGTGGCTTCTCAGTCAGCCCCCTCAGGAACTAGAGGGGGGGCGTTGGGCCAAGTCCCTGGCGAAGGGAGTGCCCCCCTCTCCTGCCTCTCTTTCTGCCCAGGTGCCCGAAGCTGCAAGGAGCTCTTGGCCCAGGGGGTGGTCCTGAGCGGCTGGTACACCGTCTACCCCCAGGACTGCCGGCCCCTGCGGGTGCTGTGCGACATGCACACCGACGGAGGCGGATGGATCGTGAGTGCGGCCCACGGCAGATCCCATGGGAGGAGGGCCCTCTGGCATTTCTAGATGCAGAGGGACGGCTCTGGCCACCCGCAACATTTGGGAAGGGAGGGATGTTGGGAGAGGAAACCTCTGATTTGGGGGCCTGCCCAGGAGAAAGGCTAAGATGCGTGGCTGTCCCCCCGCAGGTCTTCCAAAGGCGGTCGGATGGCTCGGTGGATTTTTTCCGGGACTGGGCCGACTACAAGAGGGGATTTGGGAGCGAGCTGAGTGAATTCTGGCTGGGGAACGACCACCTTCACCTCTTGACCTCTCTGGGTGAGGGGCTTCTCCCTCGTGGCCTTGGATCCTCCTGCTGCCAGGGCAGAGGGGCTGGGGCTGGGGCTGGGAAGGGCCTCTGGTGGGCCTGAGCCCCACTCTGCAGATGGAGGAGGCGCCAGAGGAACAATTGTGGGGCCGTAGCTCCAGGCTGAGAGTCCTGGTGTTGGAGCAATGTGCAAACTGAGCCTCGTGGCTCTTCTCTTCCTCCTAGGAGAGAGCGAGTTGCGTGTTGACTTGATGGATTTCGAAAATAAACAATCCTTCGCCAAATACGGATCCTTCCAGGTGGCAGCAGAATCCGATCAGTATCAGCTGAGTGTGGGCAATTTTACAGGGGGCCCAGCAGGTGAGTCCCCCCAAAAGTCCCCAACCTGTGCAGTGCCAGTCTGGCCATGGAATGGCCTCCCTGGTTGGCTGATTCCCTGGAGATGCCCTGGGCACCCACCCACCCACCCTTTCTTGCCCCGCAGGTGACTCCTTAATAAAAAAACACAACAACATGCCCTTCTCCACCCGGGACAAGCAGCAGGACCCCAAAAAACAGAAATGCGCTAAGAGGTTCAAAGGGGCTTGGTGGTATAATGATTGCCACTTTGCCAACCTCAACGGGAAATACTGGCTGGGAGAACACCAGTCTTTTGCAGATGGCATCAACTGGAAAACAGGGAGAGGCCACCACTACTCCTACAAGCACACAGAAATGAAATTCAGGCCTGTGGCTTATGGGGCTCCTTCAACTGACGGGGATTTCTTCTGAGGCGTTCCAAAGAGCATCTAGTCCATCCCCTCTGCTTTGGATTTGCTATCTTGAATTTGTATTTTACAAAATTTAAATAATCTTTAGGCAGCTGCTGCCAAATGCCTTTGGGGGGTCCTTTTCCATCTGCGCAAGAGCGGAGCAGCCAATGAATGTCAAATTAATAAAGAAAATTAATAAAAGTTTGATCTGCAACCCAGTGAAGATGTCCTTCATTCTGAGGGCATAAAACCTTCCCACCCTCGGCAGAGGCAGCGCTCTGACCTTCCCAACACCCAGCAGGACCCAGCCTGGCCCCTCCCACACTGTTCACACCGGAAAACCCAAGTGGTTGCACAGCATCTCCTAAGCCAGGCAGGGCCTTCTGTGCCCTGCCTGGTTGGTCCCAAATTCCAGGAATTGCAATGTGGCTGCAGCCTTTGACCTCCTCTACAGTCTCCGAGGCTTTGAAAACAACCGGAAAACCCCTTAAGTCTCCCGGTGTTTATTCCCCACTCAAAGAGTTCAGCACCGCAGAACTCTCCTCTCCAGCCCTCCTTCCTCCAGACTTTTGAATAACATGAGAATAAAGCTGAAAAGGGACTCCTTGCTGTCCCCCCAACTCCCTCTCTCTTCCCACAGCTCCTCCTTGTCTGCACACACATACACAGAGTGACCCATTTCTAGTGTCCCCCCCCTCCCGAGAGTTTTGAGCAACGGGTGGACCAGTCATTTTTCCCCACAATTCTGTGTTTTTCTGGCTGGAAGAGAGTCCCCATTAGCAAGGCCAGAGAGATGAATTGAAGACTTCAGAAGAACCCTTTGGGCTTCCCCAGGAGGCACCGCAGCAAATGGGCGCACGACAGATTTGAGACTGGCAGCTGAAATGCACCCTGCAGGATAGTCTTTGGCAGCCCCCGAGCTTCCCGCACCCGTCAGAAGAGCTGTTTGTGCTGGCAACGATCCTGCTCAACTAAAATGATTATCATCTTCCGACTCTCTTCTTGGTTCGTGTCTGTGCCACGCAAAAGGTCACCCTGTGTGAGTTGGCACCTGAATGTGAGCGCAGTGGACCGCATGCCCAATGTTCACTGCTCTTGTCAGCGGGCGAAGCTGGGCTCGTGATCGGAGATGTTGATGTTGGCGCTTCTTTCTGACCCGCTGAGCGGTCAGAAATGGAAAATCCCGCTCCCTTCAGTTTTCCTTTCAGCTCTGCCCCACTTGTGGAGACTGGAGGGAGCAGTCCTGCAGGGCAGAGGGAGGCAGTCCTCCCACTTGTCTCGTTTTAATGAACTGGTTTTCCACCTGGGCCTAAATTGTCCTCAAGGGGAAAGTAAGGAGCATAGAATATCAGATTGGAAGGGACCTTGGAGGTCTTCTAGTCCATCCCCCTGCACAAGGCAGGAGACCTTATACTATTCCAGTCAATTGGCTGTCTTAAAAACCTCCGGTATTGGAGCAGTCACAACCTCTGGAGGCCAGTTGTTCCACTGGTTAATTGTTCTCACTGTCAGGAAGTTTCTCCTTCGTTCTAGGTTGCTTCTCTCTTTCACAAGCTCCCCCCATCCATTGTTTCTTGGGCTCCCTTGGGGGATTCCCCCAGAGGTGAGACACGGGACATAACAGCACGCACACATACACACAAACATACCACAAAAGAGGTGCATTTGCTGAATCTATTTATTAGGAGAGCATCAAGGATGTTTATGTTTTAGTGAAGACAAAATTGCACAGAGTGGCTGCTGCGGTGGAGTTTCCGATGCTTCTGCTCTGGTTGTTCCAGGGAAAGCAGCACAGGAGCCAAAAGGGAATCCCTCTGGAGGGGCCTTCTGGGTGTCCCAGCCCCCATCTGTCATTGCCACACACTGACAAAGGGATCCAGATCTCAGTGGCGTCCCCAGCCAGGGGCGCTCACCCTGGAAACGGTCCCTCTGGCATTAAGGTCTTCTCCACCAGACTTGGCTAGGCGGATTTTGGAGTGGCATCTGCAGACACAAAGTCATGACAGTTCAGTTATCACCCGCTTCTAATTCCCAGCAACCGACTCACAAGACGCAAAGAGAGAAGTGGGGGAGCAGCAAAGCCTTCCCCCCCACCCCAGGCATGGAGGGGGGGGGGTTGTTCCTAAGTTAGAGCTGGGTTTTGTTTATACCGAGGGATCTTGAAAATAAACCCCCTCCTTCTCTGTGGAAGTGACTGCACCAAACATGATGCGATTTATATGAATTCAGCCCCCCACCATCCATGAATTTGGGCAGCCATTACAAAGAGAGGTCTGAAAAACGGGGCGGGGGATGGTCTGGCTACCTCTGGATCCAATCAAGAGCCAGGAGGGGCTTCGCTGCACGGATGTCGAGCATTTGTGGGTGCTCCAACTGGAAACACCATCAGGGCTCTGGCCTGCCTTTTGCTGTTCCCCCCCCATCTCCCTCCCCCACATGCTTCCCTTTCCTTCCCCTTTGAGCCCCTCCTGAGAGCCTCCATTTGCAGGATGCCGGCAGCCCCTCAGTTATCAGCCCAGGTGGGATCCGATTTTTCCATCCGACAAGGATGGCTGTCCAATTCCATTCCCTCATTCCTCTTCTCCGTTTTTTGCAGGCTCACTGCCAAAGTTTTAGATGTGTGTCTTTCTATGCGTGTATGTGTGTGCCTTTTTGTGCAAAACGGCCTGGTAGAGGAGCAAGTGAATTCAGGGAGCATCCGAGCAAGGAAGGACGTAAAAGACCCTGGCCAAACACACCAGTCTCTCCTTGCTGGGTGGGTGATTGTGATCTGGACAAGCTTTCCCCCTGTGGCTTCTTTCTTGGTTCCTCTCTCTTTGACCGAGGCCCCTCTTGGCATCTTACCTTTCCTGGCCAAGAGGAATATCTGCTCTCTGTCGATATGCATTTCCGTAGCGAAGTCTATGAAGGACTGCTTCACGGAATCGGACACGGACATCTCCCTGGCTGCAGAAAGGAAGAAGAGGCAGACCTGAGCTGAACGGGCTTCTTGGGTCTCCTCCCCCTCCCCACAGATTTCTGTGGGGAGAATGCCCTTCACATAGGGTGGACACCAATGGGCAGGAAGACCTTTTCCATCCGAACGAAAGCCCTGAAGATGGAATCCACCCTGATCTTAGTGGTGGCAGAGTGACACCTGATCGGCGTGGGCCCCGTTATAACCCAGGGGGGCTCCTGAGCGCAGGGAGGAGTTGGGTCTGGGTTGGGCTGGAAAGAGAAGTCGCCCCACAGGATGGTTGTTGATTTCTTGCAGCAGGTGGGACCAGAAACACAAAACCAGAAACTGTGACACTCTTGTGGCACTCCAGGGAATGCAGCTGATGTGGCTGACCCCAGTGGTGAAATCCAATTTTTTTTTACTAACGATTCTGAGGGCGTGGCTTGGTGGGCATGGCAGGGGAAGGATACTGCGAAATCCCCATTCCCTCCCCACTCTAGGGCCAGCCAGAGGTGGTATTTGCCAGTTCTCCAAACTACTTAAAATTTCCGCTACCGGTTCTCCAGAACCTGTCAGAACCTGCTGGATTTCACCCCTGGCTGACCCCATGGCCACCCATGTCTCCCCATTGACCGCTCCTCCCCAGAGGGTCACGCATCGGTTGCATTGATCTCAAACTCTTCGACTGCCCAGGCGGGCCACCCGGCTACCCGAAAGGGAGAGGTGAAGGAGGCCCAGGTGTGGGTCTTCCCTCTTCCGCCCTTTTCCTTCTGGGCAAGGGGCTTCACAGAGGGACAGCCTCCTTTGCAATCCAGAATCGCCGCTGGTCAGGAGAGGGATGTGCCAATGAAGGAATCCGTCTTGGGCCATTCTGCTTCCCCCCCCCCTTGGCGCAAGGGGGCTCTGGATACCCACCATAGAGTGACACAAATATGCAGAATACGCCCTCATTGTCCTTCAGGTCTCTGACACTGGTCATGGCGTAGGTCTTGCAATCCGTCTTCCTCTTGTCTATGATTTTGTCCCCCCATTCTGGCAGAAAAAGCAGAAGGAGGCCACCTCAAGTTACCAGTGGGGCCAGGCAAAAAGCTTAAACCAGATTCATCCTGTCCTTCTAAGTACATTCTCAAAAGGCAAACTGATATTTCATTCTGTTATTAACCTCCATTTAACACAGGAGCCACACATGTAAACTGTGCATCAACGTGAAATCAGTTAAGTATAAAAAAAGGTTTAATTTTGGCAGCTTGGAAGGTTAACTTCTCTCCCGGGGTAGAGGTAGCCCAGACGTTTCCAGTGGAAGGGAGTTCTTCGGGGGCCTTAGATCACCTCCTGGGTCAGAAGGTGGGGATGTGGGTTAATGGCTTCGGTCAACCTGCTGCTCCTCAGACGTTTGGAGCTAAGGATCCCAGGGTGGGCCAGGCTGTTTTTCCAGCTCCTCCCTGCCTCCCTGATTTGTGGAGCTCTAAGGGGAGCTGGGCTGGGGGTCCTGGCCCCTGCTGCAGGACCCACTTGGGGACACCCCCATGGATCTCCCCATGAGACCCGCCTTTCCCCAGAAAAACTGACCGGGCTAGATGCCCTCTGGCTAGAGAGGAGCCCCTCCGACTCATACCAACCGCTTTTGTGCAAATATACCCCGTCCTTCTGTTTCGTGTAGGTCATCTCCACGTCCATGGACCCATATTCCCTGCAGAAACAAGCGACGGGAGGAGCCCTGAGGCGGCTGCAGAATCAGCCCCGTGGCTCAGCTCCTCCCTTGGCCAGAAAAAGCTTCAGGCGGGGGGGGAGGGAGATGCCAAGAGAGATGCTGGCATCAGCAGACTCTCACTCAGCAAACTACCACCCCCCATCCTACAACTGGGGAGGGCCTCTGCTTCTCCTGCTAATCCTCACAGGAAAAAAAATTTCCCCTTGATCCCCACTGAGATCTCCTGGGGCCACGGCAGGCATTCCAGAACGGGCTGGCAAGGCTTAGCCCCTGGCAAGGCTGGTGAGGCCATCCCAGCCCCCCAGCCCTGAAACCCAGCATCCCCACCACTCTCCAAGGCACAAGTGCCCACCCTCCCACCCTCAGCCAGGGGGCAGAGGGCAGGGGGATTGCGGGCCCAGGCCTGGCCCAGCACAACGGGCACTCACGTCGTGAGGTTGGTAGCGACCGTGAAGCTTCCCTCCTCCTGGCTGGTTACGTTGCAGCTCATCATCTCCTTAGCCATAAACTGCACCATCCATTCACAGTTGGAGCCTATGCCATGGATGTACCAGTGCCCTAGAACCTGGGGACAACGCTTGGTTAGCCAACCCAGATTCCCTGGTGGGCGTGCCAGGGAAGTTGGACCAGGGCAGCCCATCTGGACAACCGGCCTCCTGCCCAGTTTATCGGGGGCTCTTTTGCAGGGAGAGGCAGCCCTGCTCGGTTACCTGCCCAGGACTGCATTGGTTGGCCTCATCAGAGGCGGCAGCGGGAAGGCAGAGGAAGGCGAGCCCCATGACAGACAGCCAAAGCGGTCTCATCCTGCCCAGGTGCTTGGTCCCTGCTCAGCCAAGGAGACCCCTGGAGAAGCTGGTTCCCCAAGAGCTTTTATAGCGCTCAGACGTCACTTCAACTCCCGACGGCCGGCGGCATCCTCTCTGAACTGCTGGAGGGCATTGCTGCCAGCACAAAGGGCGATTATCTTAGCCCGCACAAAGGGCCATTGCTTTGCCTGGCCAAAGAGCCTGCAGGCTTTTGGGTGGCCTCCAGCCAGAAAGCTGGCCTGCCTTCTCCCCCCACCCCCCCACCCCCACTTCAGGATGGAGGTTGGCCAAGGACAGCTGATACCAAGCCTGCCCACTGCTCTCTGGGCCCCGCTTGTCCCTCCGTTTCCTTGAGGCGCCCAAAGCAAAGGAAAGACCCCGAATGCCCTCCAGCTCGGGCACAACTGAAATGACAATAATGACAGCCACAGAGCAGCACCACAACCTTCAGAGAAGGGGGACCTTTGAGCAGGCAGCATTTAAACCATAAACCTCTCTAACCAGGTTTAGGAGCAGGTTTAGGGCTGGGACTTGGTTCTCATTCAGACATTCCTTCTCGGAAGATCCGGATGCTTTAAAGGACCTGTGCGTTGTAAAAACAAAAGCTTGTATTTGAAATGTTATATGTGGAGACGTGTGTGTAAATATGTGATTCATATGACTGCCGGATCACAAGAAGACAACATTACAGGAGGTTTACCCTCTTTCCTATTCTTTTAACTTTAACTTTGTGTCCCTCTCGGGAAAATTCAGCTCTCTGAGCGGATTAAAAGGTGCAGCATTGTGATTTAGGTTAGGAGGCTTGGAGATCGATTTCATTCAAGCTGGCTTCTGCATTTTCCCAGCACATTCGGTTTCCTGCAGCCTCAGGCAGTGGGAAGGCCTTGCAGGAGCCCCACAAAAAACATGGCTAAAAAAGAAGGGAAATTGTAATCTCTTTATTTCCAGGGAAGGAGGAAGGAAGGTGGGCAAGGCGAATGAGGAAGGAGGGTGGGGGGTAAGAGGTGGGAGACCAGCAGTTATGGCTTCCGGGCTGAAGCGTCAGGAACAGGAGGGTCTTTGGCTGCACAGGGAGAGGCCGGTTCTCTTCAGCCGCTGAAAAATAAAGCAGCAGGAAGAGGGGATTGGAGCCTGTTCCCCAAAACCCCTCTTCTTCCACCAACGTTTCTCTCCATCCACACAACCTTTACCAAACCGGCCCCTCTCTTTAGAACAAGATACTGGACCAGGGAAATTTTACGGCACCCACACACACCCCTCACTCGCCAGTGGCCGCTTAGAGGCACCTCTTCTCCTGCACACAATAGCTGGAGGGCATACATCAGTGGTGGGCTGCTCCCAGTCCAGTCCGGTTCTATAGAACCGGTAGTAAAACTGGCAGGAGGCTCCACCCACCCACCATGACATCATCATGGGTGATCTGTGCATGCATCTGTGCGTGCGCACGTGTGGTCCCGTTGCAAACAGGTAGTAAAAGTAAGTGGAACCCACCCCTGGCACACATACACACACACACCCGTACCCCGCCCCCCGTGCCCCATTTCAACCCTTTGCAAGGCAATTGCACTCACCTAATTTGCTTGAAACATTTATCTGCAATGCAGAGAAAGACACGGTCAGTCTCAAAGGCTGGGCAGGATTTAGGGGCCACTAAAAGGCAGGAGGGCAGCAGCTCCTTCTCAGCCGGGGGGAGAGAGTGTTGGGGGCCTGGGGGTTCCCTGCAAGGGCTTCCCTGCCCCCCTGTGGGGCTCACCATTCCCTTAGCTGCAATTCCTTGCTGCTCCCACTCCCCAGCTGCCCTCTTCCGCCTTCTCTGGGGTTCCCAGGTGTCCTATGGGCTCGACACCCACCAAAGGGTCTCTGAAGCAAATGCATGAAAAGGGGCCCTCCGCTCACCAGACAAGGGTGGGACCACCAGATCGCCCATGAGCCCCATCTTCTGGCAATAGGCCTTGAATCTGTCCAGGTTCTCACTTCCCTTTAGGTCTTTGCCTGCAAGGGAAAAGGGAACACGGGGAGGAGGGTTAGAGCTATTCCCACGGGCACTGGACGCGGGAGGCTCTGAGGAGTGATCCCCAAACTCCCTGCTGGAGGAGGAGCCGCTGAGAGCCGCGGGGGCGCAGATCCCCCCAATCTGGGGACCGGGAAGCAATGTTGGAGATCAGAGTTCAAGGCTTGCTCAACGGTCCTGCAGAAGGGAGCAAGGCTGATGGACAGGCAAGCCTTCGGAGAGAGAAAAGGAGCCCAGGTTGACATGGGCAGCCACCCCCACCCCCATCATCCACAGCTGTTTTGGTTTATGGCCCTGCCTAGGTGCCCCCCCGACCCTGGGTTCAAGAAGCAGGAGGGCCCTGCCAGATCACCCACTGTAAAGCTGGAGACTCCTGCTGGGGGGCATCCCCTTCATCTCCCACTGGACGTAGACGATGGCGAAGTTGGCATCGCTGGCCAGCACCCGCAGGTCCTTCTTGCCCTTCTCTGCAGAGGGGGAAGCAGCGGGGGGGGGCAATCAGTCGCCCCTCCTTGGAGGCTCCCTCTGGGCCCTTCTCCCCACCCACCCACAATCTCTGGAAAAGCAAATGGGGCACTCTGCACGTGCTCGGAATCACACTCATCTTCTCTAACAAAAAGAAAGCCCTGGTGGCTGGGGGTCCCACTCGGGGGTCTCCCTCCCTACCGTCACTTGCGGTGAAGTGTCCCGGCTGCTCCGTCTTCATATAGGTGCCTTTCATCCCTTCGCAATCTTCTCCCCTTGAAAGCAGCAAAAAGAAGCAGCGTGGGGGGAGAGTTTGGGCTGGCAAAAGAGACGCCATTTCTGGGCTTGCTTTGGGTGGCTGTCATTCACCCCCCACCCCCCCCACTCCCATCTGTGTGTGTGTGTGTGTGTGTGTGTGTGTGAGAGAGAGAGAGAGGGGGGGGAGGATTCCAGTTGCTCCCAGAGATTTAGTCCTGGGGCACCGCCCTGAACCCCGAAGGGAGCAGGAGGCTTAAATCAGGGCTGGGTGAACCTGTGTTGTTGTGACACCCCCACCCCCACCCCCGTCTGTCAGGGGAAAATTGGGGGGGGCAGGATCAAGTAGGAGCCAAACCACAAAAGCTATTTACAAAAGGTAATAAGTTTCTATCTCCAGGTTGCCATTGGGTAAGGGGACAATCCGGGCTGCCGGTGTCGTGATGATGTCCTTCAGGCTCTGGAGCATGGGGTCAGTGGAGGCGAGAGCCGGGACGTGCCACTTCCCTGCAAACTGCAAAGGGCCCCCCGTGGTTAAACCGGCAGGCCTGTCCCCTCCTGCCCAGCCCTCCCCCTCCTGAGGCAGTGGGGCCTTTACATTTTGCACACACCCCCCGGGAAGGGTTGCTGCTTCTGCCCGACAGAGAAAGGGCAGAGACGAGACGGACCACAGGGAAACTGTAAAACCTCAGGAAGCCCTGACGTTTATGTTGCTGAGGTAGACTGCGCTTGAATATGGAGAGGCAGTTTGGCTGAGGACCACAGAATGTTTGCGCAGGAGGTCCACAGCCAGATGGGCTGCAGTTTAGGAGATGGGCTTGCAAGCTCTCGCCCACATCCGGAGTCCTGGAAGTGGCTCGGACATCCCCCAAGCCCCCCTTCCCTGCAACCGTCCGGTACCCTTTTAAGGTCGAAGTTTGGATCCACTTCCACATCGGCCTGGACGCCCAACATGCAGAACGCTACGAGGCTGAGCAGGGCGGCCTCCATGCTGGTGGGTCTGCCTTGGTGCTCCTCACGTGCCAGCAGGAGGGCAGAAGGGGTGGCCGGCCCTCTGGGGCACCCGGATTTATACCTCTCCCTGGCACTTGACAGGAAGCGGAGCTTATGCAAGGCTTTGGGCAACTGGTGTCCGGTAACATGGCATTAAGGGATAAGAGATGCTGCAGTTGAGCCACCCCAGAGAGGAGGAGGAGGAGGAGGAGGAAGCACAGCCTGCAATCCAACCTCCCTTTTATCTAAATCCCCTCTAAATCCCCACGACTGGAGAGGGGCTTCCTTCAATGCCAGGCCTCAAGGAAAAACAATGGTGCAACTCTCTCTCCCTCCCTCCCCCCCCCCCCCCCCCCTCTCTCTCTCTCTCTCTCACACACACACACACACACACACACACCGAGGAAAAAACCCACTCTGGCCCCAAAAATCCCACCTCCTGCTTGGGAAGATCAAGCAAAAGTGCTGCAGAATTCTTTGCTAGGCAAAAGGCTAAAGAAAGCAGGGACACCGTGTGTGTCTCTGTGTGTGTTGTTGTTGTGTGTGTGTTGTGTTTGTGTGTGCAAACAAAGGGGTTGGACCTGAAAGGGGAGTGAGCAGGGGAGAGCTTTGTCCGGCTGCCCAGAAAGGCTGGCTAGGATCTCATCCTTTGAGAGAAGCAGCGGTGAGAGAAAGGACTGGCGACAGAAAAGTTGTATTTTTCCATTTTTAGAGAACTTTTTAAAATGGTCCAAGAAGAATCTCAGACATTAAAACCTCCCTCAGGCCCAAAAGACAAGACACCCCCCCCCCCATCCCACTTCCCACCTTCCCACCAAAAGGCAGCAGAAGCGACACCAGACTGTGTTACATTTTCTTTTATTATTGCTGTTATTAATATTTCCGGGGCAGGAGAAAGGCTGCTATCAGGCGAGAGGCAGGCAGGGTGCTGGGCTGGTGGGGAAAGGCGGCCACAGGGAGAGTTCCAGCGCTATGGGGAGAAAGGGGTCTTTGCCCCCCCCCCACCTCCCTTGGAAGAGGGAGCCAGAAGCCAGGCGAGTAACTGCAGAGAAAAGGGAGGAAGAGAAGGTTATTTCTTTGGATATTGCCCGTTTTTTAAAAATAAATAAATAAATAAATAAATAAATAAATAAAATAAATAAATAAATAAATAAATAAATAAATAAATAAATAAATAAAATGTATTAAATGTTCAAAAGAAACATTAAAATGCCAACTAATGTAAGGGGGAAATAAGAAGAGAAATAACAAAAAAAGAAAAAAGTTAAAAAGTGACACAAACCTTTACATTCTTGGATACTTTCTGGCGAGCCAAAGCCAGAACAAAAGCCACTCACCTACACACTTTCTCCCATGCAGAGATCTGGTCAGAAGGAAGAGAGGGAAAGGGGTCAAAAGAGGCCTTGGGGCAGCCCCTCCGCTGGCACCCACCACCAGCCCGGCCCCGCCTGCCCGCCACACGCCCTCACCAGTCCGGGGCAGGACGAGGATATCCTCCTGGGCAAGGCCCTGGTTCAAGGCCGTCTGGGTGAACTTCGCCAGGAGCTCCGGGCGCAGCTGCTTCTGCCTCCCTGGCACCAGAAAGCAGAGCGGGTGAGGGACCCTGGCACTCCCCCGCAGCGGCCTCCCCTGGCAGAGCCCGCCTGCAGAAGGGCCGGGGAGGCGCCGGCTGCACCTACCGTACAGGGTGACCATGGTGAAGGTGTCGGCCCCCTTGGTGATGGTGTCTCCCAGCAGCGCGTACTCGTCGTAGTTGGTCTCCAGCACCCGGATGTTGTGGGCACTTCCTGACCCTGAAAGAGGAGCAGACACGGGGAGGGGGCCCCTAGCCAGAGCCCACAGGGAGTAAGGGTTGAGGACCCCTCCCCTTATAGGCAGGCAGAGGGTCTCCCTCCATTGCAACCCTCTTGGCAGCCACATCATTGTCTCTGGGGGGGGGGAATCTGGCTCAGCTCCTCCCTCCCTATCCCTGGGGCTTCCAGGCTAGCCTTCCCACGAGTCCCATCATGCTGGCTGGGGCTGATGGGAATGGGTGCCCAATGCATCTGGCGCTGCCCTGAATGAGTTGGGGAAGCAGTGTTGGCTTTGGTTGCCTTCCTCCGGCAGGGGAGGGCAGGGATGAGGAAGAGGAGGCTGGGGAGGGGGGACTAGGCTGGGGGGGGCACGGTAGGCAAGAAGGCTGATCCTATGGGCTCCCTTGTTGCCCTTCTGCTCCTCCAGCCTTCTTCCCCCCCCCCCCGGGGGGGGGGGCGGGGGGGGGGACGGGACGGGAAAGAGGGGGCTAATCCCTCCGGCTAGGAAATGCTGGAAGTTGGACAGGGGCAGGGGCTGCCAACCAGTTTCCTCCTGCTGGCAAACCCGAATGTTCGATCAGCCCCCTTTGGACGGAGGTGAGCAGAAAGAGAGCAGGGGGTCTTCAGGGTCTCCCACGTACAAGGGCTGGTGTAGGTGAAGCGCCCAGGCTCCTCCGTCCGGAGGAAAAGGGTCCTCTTGGTCTCGCACTGGTCAAGCCTGTCAGGGAGGGAGGGAGGGAGGGAGGAAGAGGTTAGGCAAGGAGGCTGCCGCAGCAGGGCTGGCTCTGGGGGCACCAACCGATCTGGGCAGCTCACAGCTCTGGCACAGGGGCCCCGAGTCTCCCCACAACCCCCTCCCTCCAGAAGAGCCCCCTTACTTGGGGTAGGTGGAGGCGATGTCCAGGTTCCCGTCTTCCGTGGGCGAGACCACCGTGGTGCACATCTTGATGACCTGCCTTTTCTCTTTGAACCAGCGGGAGTTGGAGGCCAGGCCGATGCTGTACCAGCTGCCTGTGAACTGGGGGAGGGGGGGAGAAGAGTCAGGCCTCCCCACAGGGCACCCTTGACCTCCCCCTCCCCTCTTTGGTTCAGACCACCCAGCCCGGAGGGCATTTGGTAAAAGAGCAGAAATGAGAAGGTTTGGCTGGGGCCACTTCGTGCCATCGGCCACGCCGGGCCCCAAAGATCCTGATGGACCGAATGGAGCTGGGATCCTTCCAGGTTCAAAAAAGTCAGGAGCAGCAGAAAAGGGGGAGCTCTTAAACTCAGGGTGGGTGGGAAAGGTTGCTTCCATGTGTGGCAGCCTCTGATTCCCACCCTCCCTTGAACCCCCCCCCCGCAGCGCAGCCCTTCGCAAGGAGTATGGATGGGGGCTCTTCCTCCATATCCTTCGGACACCCCCACACCCCCCGACACACAGAGCCAAGGACCCTGAGCCTTTCCGCCCAGCGGCTCAGCTGAGGAGCCCGAGAGGTTTGCCGCAGGGCGCCAGGGTGGCTCTCCCGTTACCTGCTCTTGCTGGAAGTCAGCCTGAACGGGCAGCTCGGCCTGCACCTGCAGCAGGCAAAGGAGGGCCAACACGGCAGACAGCTGTGCCCACATGCCGAGGCTCCTGGGCTCTACCTGGTGCGGCGTCTCTGCAAAGGCTTCCGCAGGGATGGTCAGCCAGAAACCAGGGCGGGCGGCTATATATTGGCCAGCCCAGCAGCAGGTCAAGGGGCGACCTGTGCTGGAGGCCGGCCCCTGCTTCCCCCCTGCCCCCTCCCGGCAGCATTACGCAAGCCGAAAGCAGGAAAACAGAACGGGCAACGGGGCCCCTGCTCTGCTCTGCTCTGCTCTGCAGGGTCCAGCTGTGAGAGCATCAGCCCACAGGCCCACCAAAGAGATCCCCCCCCCCGCTGGAAAGTGGAGGAGCCTGCCCCCCCTCCCATCACCCGGGCTGTGTGCAGTGGGACGGCCCCTCCCTCTCTGGCTCTCACCCCTGCTGTACAAAGTGCAGGGCTGCCTCATTCAACGCGGCACAGAGGAGAAGGGAAGGAGCCAACGGAAGGACAGCCTGACCACGGTGCCCAGACCTCGGCCGCCCCTCGGCCTCAGGACCAGCCCGCCTTGCCGCTTCCTTCTGGGGTGGGGGGGGCATTTTGCTTGGTGTCTTGGCAGGAAGAAGAGGAATAGCAGTGCTGGGCCAGTTTGAAGGTCCAGCCGCACCGTCCATTCCGCACTTCCCAGGCCAAGAAAGCCTAAGACCCTTGCAGTGGGGGGGGTGCTGATGCATTGGCAGTGGGGGGGCGGATGGTCTGGAGTCCCCGGAGGAGAGGCCCAATTGAGTCCGAAAGAGGGCCAAAGAGCATTCTGGCAGCTGCCGGACTGGACGCGGAGTCGAGCCCCTTCTCAGGCTCGGCTGGATGAGGGGCAGGATGGGGCAGCTGAGCTGAGTGGGGAGGGCAAGGGGCTGGAGATCAGCAGGGGCCGTGTTTGGGAAAGGAGACGGGGAATAGCCACCCTACTGACCGAGGCTGAACAAGCCTCTGGGTCTGGCCAGACTCCTCCCCAGCCCCGGCCCTTCCAGAAGGGGTCAGGGAAGGAGCCGGCCAGCAAGAGCACCATGGCTGCTGCCGCCCCCTTTGGAGCCAGAGGGTACCTTGCCAGAGCCAGGCGAGGGGGGCATGGCCCGGGGGGGGGGCTGGGTAAACAGCACGTGCAGAGGCTTCCTGCAGTTGGAACAGCAAAACAAGCCAGCTGCCAAGAGAACAGGCCGGGCTGGGCGGGTGGAGGGGGGGCAGCCAGCGCTTTCCAGAACTGCTTTCTCAGCAAAAGCCGAAGAGTCCGAGAACAGTCCAGCCCTGAAGGCAGGGCAGCTGAGTGGGTGCGGGGCCTCTGTGGCACTGGGGGTGGGGGGTGCAGGGACTCTGCGAGAAAACAATGCCCAGGTGCACCCAGCCTGGCACTCCCTGGGGAGGGGGGGATAAACCTTTGGGGGGCATCAGCCGCTCATCCTCTTTTGCAAAAGAGCCCAGAGTTTGTTCCACCACTTGCAGCCCAGCCCCCCCCCCAGCCCCTCTTACCCTGCGGCCAGAAGGCTTCTTATGCTAGGGGAGGGTTGAGGGGTGGGGTGGGGGTGGGGGCTCATTACAGGCCCAGTTCTACCTTTCAGCAAGCAACTCAAACCTGATTTTTAGCTAACATCCCCCCCTTTTTTTTTTCCCAAATATCAACGACATCAAAGTGGGTTTTCTTGTTTTATTTTCCTGGGACCAAATACAAGGAAAAACTTGGGTGGCTTCTGTTCTTGAGCGTCCTCATGGGCTGCCTTGACACGGCTGGAGCGTCGGATCGCTCCTGGTTCCTGCTATCCTGTGTATTTCGTTTCTGGAAAGCCGAAAGAGAAAATACAGGAGGGGATCGGAGGATCTGCCCCTGAAAGGCTTAGCCTCCTGCAGACCCCCATCAGCAACCCCCCCCCCCGTCAAGGCTTTGTACTCGTTGCCTATCAGCCAGCAGAGGAAGCAAAGCCCGCCTGCCTCTCGCGGGTGCCAGGGGTGCACAGTTCCCGGGTCTGGCGACTTTGGCCAAGGAGGCGCTGAAGCCGGCAACTCACCGTCAAGGATGTGGAATTGGTCGGCCGAGCTACAAAACCCTGCGGAAAAGAGCCGGGAGGGAAAAGAAAGTCGGGTTAACGGTTCTGGGGGTTCAAAAGCATCTGTGCAACCCCGGGCCCTGCACTGTTTGGACGAGGTGGTTTTCGGAGGCCTACGACAGACAGACCCCGCAGAGCCCCTTTGCTTGGCCCAGTGTGGACGTTTGGGAATAAGGGGAAGGGGCAGTGGTGGAATCCAAATTTTTTTACTACCGGTTCTGTGGGCGTGGCTTGGTGGGCATGGTGTGACTTGGTGGGCGTGGCAGGGGAAGGATACTGCAAAATCCCCATTCCCTCCCCACTCCTGGGGGAAGGGTAGTCTCTATTCCCACCTCATTCTAGGGCCAGCCAGAGCATTTGCTGGTTCTCGGAACTGCTCAAAATTTCTGCTACCGGTTCTCCAGAACCTGCTAGATTTCACCCCGGGAAAGGTTCTGCTGACCCCCAGGATCTGCCTGACTGACAGGGAGCACAAACCTTCCCCCCCACCCCCCGTCCGAGAGCAAAGAGCTGCGCACCGTAGACGGGGTAATAGAAGATGAGGTCTTCACTGATTCCCAGGGCAGTCATGGCAGCTTCGAACTTCTTCAGGACGCTACTTGTCACCTGTGCCGTCCGTCCTTTCGTGAAAGGGAGCAGCATTAGGGGAGCCCGAGTTGCCCTTTCCTTCCCTCAAGCAGCTGAAGAGCTTTGCTGGCCAATCTCCCTACAGAACAGGGTGGCTCCAGCACGCATCTCCTTCAGAGATACTCCAGGCCCCTCTTCAGGATCTGCCCAGCCTGCAAGGGAGGAGGCTGCAAGGCAGCGGGAACCGTCCCCCCCTCCCCAGTCCCCAGACCAAAGCCCACCAACTTAAGGCTGCAGCTTTCATTCACACCGTAAAGTTTGGCTGAGATCTTGCGGTTCTTCTGGAAGTACAGGATGGCGTAGCTGCTATAGTCCGTCTCCCCCACCACCACGTCCACTGTGACACCGCGGCCTGGAGGGGGGACCACAGAGAGATCAAGGGGGAGCTTGTCCTGCCAGGGCCAAAGGGCAGCAGGCGAGAGGAAGCCTTCGTCTCTCCTGCCTCTCACCTTTCAAGAGGAACCGCCCAGGGGTCTTGTCGGCAAAATACCTCTGTTTGATGTTCCAGCAAATCCCGTCCCTGCAGAGACGAAGGTGGCGTCAGCCCACCGAGGCAGGACGGACAGACAGACAAAAGGACGATATCCGTCCAAAACGACCTATGCTGGGACAGCTGAAGACAGACTCCTGCAAGTCTGAATCGGTTTCCCCTCCCTGCCTGTGAACTAGCGAGGGCCCTCCTGGCGGCATAGTTAGGCTGATTTCCCCCCCCCCCCAAATCCCCCACCCTGAGTGCAGGATCCCCGAAACACTCACAGAGGCCGGAAGGTCTTAAAGAGCAGCGAGTCCCTGTCAATCGACACAACCACATTGGTGGCTTCCACCCGGTAGCCATTTTCACGCAGGTAAAGGCAATCAGAGGCCACCCCCACCAGAAACCACTTCCCTGCAAACTAGAAAAGGAGGGAGCTGTCCATCTTCTCTAACCTTCCCCCCACCCCCCCTCTTGACCCCCAGTGGATTAGAGGCTGCGTGGCTGGGTTTCCTTGCAGTATTTCTGCAACTGTTATACCCCACAGCCCCAAACCACACTTAAAATGTGGTACAGTTGCAAAAATTAAGCCTAAGAGCCGGTTCAGTGAATCCTATTTTTAAAATGCCACAGGCATCAGCTATTTTAAAACAAATCCTTTACTCTTTCATTTGCCGAAACAAGATAGTATATTGACTCCTCTGAGCTGAACCGTGGTAGAAAAAAGCTTGAAACTGAGTAAAGGAAATGGGACGGGAGCCACGTTTTCATTTATGATTTCCTTATAACAAAAGCCAGAGAGGAAGAGAAGATGCGCATTATGCCAGCCCTTCTCCCCGAGAAAGAGGGAGCCTTCCGCTTATCAGGGGAGCCTCCTCCTCCGCACTGTGGCCGCCTTTGTCAAGAGTTTGGCAGGGAGAGCGGAGCTGAGCAAACAGAGCAGATAAGGAACCGCCTAACAAGCACCGCACTATGAGGGGATCAGGATTATGGGCTTGCAGCCCAGGGTAGCTGCTAGATCCCTGGAAAGGGTGGGGATGGGTGGGAGGACAGGCCCTTCCGAAATGCAGCCACAGGGATGGAAAGAGAGGCTTTCTGGCAGCAAGAAGAGAGGAGAGCTGCCTCCCAGCGCAGGACGGATCCTGACGGCTCTTGGCCATCTCAGAGCGACCGCAGAGGAAGCTCAGAGCTTGTTACTCCCCAAACGAGCTTCCCCCACCCTCCCCTCTGCTCACCCGGGCGGGATCAAACTGTTCCTGGGCGCTGATCTTGTCGATGGAGTTCTTGGAGGGTTTGGGCCTCCGTGCCCAGGAGGGTGAAGCCAGCAAAAGCCCAGCCAGGAGAAGGAGAGCAATGGGAGCCATGGCGGGATGGCAATGACCAGCAGCGCTTGGGGTGCCCTTGGGCATAGGAGGGAGGGAGGGCGGGCTCCCAGTTAGGCATTAATCAGGCTTCCCAGAAAAGGCCACTGGGGAGGTCCCAGCTGCTGCTGTTGCCGCTGCTGCTATCCTACCATCCCCAGAATGGAGACAGTGCTCCATTCACAAAGGGGCAAGCTGGGGCCCCCAATGTGTCCTGGAGTTTGCAAGGCAGCTTTTTACAGAAGCTCTCGGGGCTTCAGCTCAGCTCCTTCCAGGCCCTGGACAGCCAGCAAACCCTTGCAAAGCTCTGCTCAGACCATACAACAATAAGGTACTTATCTATTTCACAATGCACAGTACTGGGGCTGATATCTATGCCTATCAGTTGAAGGTGTATGAGAGGACCTGAGTGAAGACTTCATAAACAGTCATTTATAACTTGAAATGGGTGGGGGGGAGTTAAAAAGGCTAAAAACCCGAGTTAAAAAGGCTTCATGTGCTAACGCTAAGGGACAGAAAACAGTGCCCTCGTGTGGTCAATGTAGGAATCGCAACCACAAAAGGAAATCATTTATCATTTATTTCCTTTTGTAGTTGCGATTCTGACATTGACCACACGAGGGCACTGTTTTCTGTCCCTTAGCGTTAGCACTGAAGTCATCATAAGGCTTTTAAACTCGGGTTAAGGCTTTTGAAGGAGGTTTCTCTCTTCTTCTGGGCCTTTTCTGCAGCCCCTGGGGCTCCCGTTGCCCTATTCATATTAAACATACGGTTTTGTTTTTTTATTTAAAAAGTTTTACAAATACATTTTCTCCCCAATTTCCCCCCCCCCAAGCCCTCCGTACCCTCCCTAGCCCTCCCCCTTTCCCCCCAGGACTTCCACAATATAAAATCCTAATCGAGAAATACATTTTATAAAGCTTAAAACTTAAACCCCTCCACCCCCTATATACTGTTTATACCTTCATAAAACTCAATTAATTTGTCCCTACATAATACATTCATTCAGCTAAAAGCTATCTGATATTTCTTAGTTTGATATTTATTCTGCACATAATCTATCCACTTTTTCCACTCCTATACATAAGTCTCTTGAGTTCGGTCTTTTAAATATGCTGAAATCTTCGCCATCTCTGCAAAACTCGCCATCTTCAAAGTCCATTCTTCAATTGATGCCCTTGCTGTGATGTCCCGTTGCCTGGAGGCCGTGCGGATCTGGATGGGGAGAAACAAGCTCAGACTCAACCCCTCCAAGACCGAGTGGCTGTGGCTTCCGGCGTCCCGGTACAGTCAGCTGGTACCATCACTGACAATAGGGGATGAGATCTTGCTCCCCACAGAGAGGGCCCGCAACTTGGGTGTCCTCCTGGATTCACGGTTATCTTTAGAAGATCATTTGACGGCCGTGGCCAGGGGTGCCTTTTATCAGGTTCGCCTGATCCGCCAGTTGCGTTCCTTTCTGGATCGGGAGGCCTTGCGCACGGTCACTCATGCCCTAGTTACCTCCCGTATGGACTATTGTAATGCTCTCTACATGGGGCTCCCCTTGAAAAGCACCTGGAGGCGCCAACTGGTTCAGAACGTAGCCGCACGGGTGATTATGGGCGCAGCTCGTTACGCCCATGTAACACCTCTCCTACGCGAGCTGCACTGGCTCCCGGTGGTCTTCCGGGTGCGATTCAAGGTGTTAGTTATCACCTTTAAAGCGCTCCATGGCTTAGGACCTGGGTACCTACGAGACCGTCTTTTGCCACCAATAGCCTCCCACCGACCAGTTCGTTCTCACAGGGAGGGACTACTCAGGGTACCATCAGTCAAATTATGTCAACTGGCAACTCCCAGGGGGAGGGCCTTCTCTGTGGGGGCTCCAACCCTTTGGAATGAACTGCCCCCGGAGATACGGAATATCCCTGATCTCCGTGCTTTCCGCCGTGCACTCAAGACCCTGATGTTCCAACAGGCAGGGCTAAACATACGAACATGTGAATGATTTTTTAAATGTTATCTAATTCTGGGTTTTATTTAATTGACCAAACTAAGTAATAATTTTAATTAGCAATTTTATGATGTTTGTGTGTCTATATTTTTCTTGACTGTACACCGCCTTGAGTCCTACGGGAGAAAGGCGGTATAGAAATATAATAAATAAATAAATAAATAAATAAATAAATAAATAAATAAAATAGTGGGCATAGCTTCATTTTTCCAATATTGACCAATCAGCAATCTCGCTGCTGTCACCAAATACAATATCAGCTTTGTTTCGCCCAATGTAAAACCCTTAACACCACCCTGCCTTCCCATTGCATTGGCCCCGAGCAGCTCCTTCCTGGCCCAGGCTGGCTCCCACCCTCCCGGGATATCCTGGAAAGCCAGAGTCACTTAACAGCGCTGTTAACTAATTTATTCAAAACAAATATCGGACTAAAAAGTGTCAAGTAGCGCGCCCGAGCGCCCTCTGCCGACCGAGGAAGCGTGCTCCACTCCGGCCTCGATTCGTCGAGCCTGACCGAAGCAGAGCCGTTGGGCGGGGGGGGAAGGGGGGGGCCTAGGGAAGCCGGAGAGCAGGATCGGCCACTCGGCTTCCGTTGGCGGAAGTGTCGTCGCTCGCCGGAAGGAAGTGCGCGGCCGTGAAGGGGCCGCTCTCGGCGGGAGGCTCCCTGGTAGGGGCGGCCCGGCGGCAGGATGCGGCCATGCTCCCCGACAGCCTCCTCGTCGAGATCTTCCGCCTCCTGCCGCCCGCGGACGTGGTGGCGGCGGGGCGGGTGTGCCGGCAGTGGCGCCGGGTGGCCCGGGACGAGGTCCTGTGGAGGGGGCTCTTCTACCGGCACTACGGCGTCGCCCGCCACGTCCACAGGCACCCAGGTCAGCCCCCGGGGGGGGGGGGGGGGGGGGGGGGGGGGGCGGATCCCCCCCCCCGCAGCAGCAGCAGCCCCTCCCCAGGCGCCGAAGGGACCCAAATCCCGGCCGGGGGGAGGGTGAGGGGAGGGGGGTCCCGCGGGGTCCCAGCGGGCGGGGTGGCCGCGCAGCCTCGGGAGCCGCTCTCCGTTTCCGCCGCAGCTGCCGCCTCCTGGTACGGAGAGTTCCAGCGGCTGTGCGAGGCCGTCCCGCGCGTGGAGGTGCAGCGCCTGCAGGAGCACGGAGAGCCCGTCCTCCACCTCAGCTTCGCCCACAGCGGCCGCCTCTTCGCCTCCTGCTCCAAGGACTGCACCGTCAAGGTCCGGCGGGGGAGGGAGGGCGGGGCGGGGGGTCTTGCTCCGGGTGGGCTCTGCGCTCCGGTCTCGGCTTGGCGGCCCCCGACGGCCCCGTTCCTTCTCCTTTCTGGCTGCAGGTCTGGAACAACGATCTCCCGGTCTCGCTGCTGCACAGCACCAGCATGAAGAAATACAACTGGAGCTACACTCACTTCTCCCAGTTCAACGCGGACGATTCCCTCCTCCTGGTCTCCGGGGTCTTTATGGGGCCCCGGACCTCCTCCTCGGGGGAGATTGCCGTCATCGGCCTGGGTGAGGAGGTTTGCGGGGCGCCCGCCGAGAGCTTGGAGGTAGCCCGGGCTCCCCCTAGAAGGGCCTGGACGGGGCGGGGGCAGAGCGGGGGAATCCCGTCCCTCCAAATCTGGTTCTGGTGGCTCAAGACGTCTCGCACCTCCTCCTGCACCTCTGGGGGGTCCCTTGAGCCCCTCCCGTTCTTCTTTTAGAGAACTTCGAACTCCTGTCCCGAGTCCGCAATAAGCCCTACGACGTTTTTGGCTGCTGGCTGAACGAGACCAACTTGATCTCCAGCAACCTGCACCGGATTGGGTACCTCACTTCCTGCTCCGTCTTATGGCTGAACAACGCCTTCCAGGTGAAGCGAGGCTGCGTCCCTGGGGTGACCTGGGGGTGGAGGGAGCCCCGGGCTGCCGTGGCCTGACTCCGCTTGCCCCGTCACTCACAGGGCGTCGAGTCCGAGAACGTCAACGTGGTGAAACGGCTCTTCAAAATCCAGAACCTGAATGCCAGCACCATCCGGACAGTCATGGTCGTTGATTGCAGCCGCTACAGCTCTCCTGACGAGCTGCCGAGCCCTGGAGAGCAGGTGGGGGAGGGCCCCGCTCCTCCCCACAAGGAGAGCCCCAGCCAGGAGGTGGAGGAGAGGCCCCAGCTGAGGGGTTTCCCGGCAGCCGAAGGGGAGGCAGGGACTGAAGATGGGCTGGACCGCTTCCTGAGTGACATCATGGCGGGACGCGTCCGGCCAATGATGACGGAGATGGAGATGGAGACGAAAGTGGCCCGACTCCTGGCCCGGAACCGAACGAAACCCCCAGAGCCCAACCTGCTCTCCCTGCAGGGTGGAAACAAGAAATACCTGGTCTTCACCACCGGCTGCCTCACCTACTCACCGCACCAGATTGGTAGGGGACCTGTGTGCTCTTTTCCTTGTGGAGGGGGGTGGAAGAAATGGCCGCTGAAGGGTCGTTGCACTTCTGCACAGGGGGATTGTGGAGCAGAGCCTGGGGATGAGCAACAGGGAGAGCCTTGCTGGAATATCTGGCTGCCTCCCATTGGAGGTCTGATGCTTGGCTAGGTCACCTGCCCTCTTGGTCTGACCGGAGGCGGTGAAAGAGGTTTGGTGCCACCCTGTGAGAGATGGGCGAGCTAGCAAGCTGCCTCTTCGCTTCACCCCTAGGAATCAAGCAGATCCTTCCCCACCAAATGACAACCGCAGGGCCTGTTCTGGGGGAAGAGAGGAATTCGGACAGATTTTTCGATTCGCTGGATCATGTCATTGATATTCACGGGCATATCATTGGCATGGGCCTCTCTCCAGACCACAGGTAGGGAAAGCTGCCAATGATTGGGCATGGGATGGAGACCGGGTGGCACGATGCCTCAGCTCAGCGATGAAAGGTCTTGCTCGGGGGGGGGGGGGGGGTGGGGGGCCACAACCACAAGCTCAGGGAAGAAGGGCTGGCTGTGTTTTTTTTGTTTTTGTTTTGTTTTGTTTTTATTTGATTTATATGCCGCCCTTCTCCGGAGACTCAGGGCGGCTTACAATGTGTTAAGCAATAGCCTTCATCCTTTCGTATATTTATATAAAGTCAGCTTATTGCCCCCACAACTGGGTCCTCATTCAACCTACCTTAGAAAGGATGGAAGGCTGAGTCAACCTTGAGCCTGGTAAGATTCGAACTTACAGTAATTGCAGACTGCTGGTGTTAATAACAGGGTGCGTTAAACCACTGTACTACCAAGGCTCTTTGTGTTGGGAGATTGCCAGGCACCCAGCCAAGCAGGAGCCCTCTGCTGCCCAGCTCCCACCTCGCCCTCCACAAGGCCAGCGAGACTGCCCTGTCTCTCTCTCTCCCCCCCCCCCCCTGACTCTCCAGGTACTTGTACGTCAACAGCCGCGCTTGGCCTGAGGGCTGCGTTGTTTCCGATCCTTTGCAGCCACCCCCCATCGCTGAGGAGATTGAGCTGCGCGTGGTGGACCTCAAGACCATGAAGGAGGCCAAGCGGGCTCTGCGGGCACACCGGGCCTACACGCCCAGCGAAGAGTTCAACTTCATTTTCCTTGATGTCAGCAGGGACTTTGTGGCCAGGTGAGCCTCGCCCTCCTTTCTCCTCTCTGTCCAGCGAAGGCTCCTTAGCAAGGGAGTTGATGGCTTCCAGATCCCGTTGCGCCTTTTTGAGGGCTAGTCCCTTGAGGCATTTTGCAGGCGGTGGTGGTGGTGTTCCAGAGCTTCTCCTCCAGCTTTGTTCTATGGTCACCAATGTGTCTCCTCCTCCCTCCCTCCCCCTGTGCAGTGGGGCCGAGGATCGCCACGGATACATCTGGGACCGGCACTACGACATCTGCTTGGCCAAATTGCAGCATGACGACGTGGTCAACTCGGTGGCTTTCAGCCCTGTGGAACAGGAGCTCCTCCTGACAGCCTGCGCGGACAACACCATCAAAGTGTGGCGCTCTCCCCGCACCGCGCGAGTCCTCCACGAGGAGAAGCCCAGACTTCGTAGACGCCTCTTCTCCTGGGCCACGAAGCAGGGAACGTGAGCTGGGCAGGGCTTGCTTCCTTGGGCCAGGAGGCCCGTCCCCTGCAAGCGACCCTGGCCCAGCCCACTCAGCTTCACAGATGCCCTGCTCGGGTGAGGCCTGGAAGAATCGCCACTCGAGGAACGGAGCCGCAGGCTGGCATAGTTCTGTAGGATGCTGTCACCCTCTGATGTGGCTCCTGGGCTCTGAACGGCCACGAAGGGAGCCAGGAGACCTGTGCTGCTCCTGCTTGAATCTCTGCTTGACGGGGAGGTAAGAGAAACACAGCTGGGCCCTGAGCTGGATTCCCTTCGGTGCCTCTGCTCTCGTTGACCCAGGCGGCCCCCCTCTCCCCCCGAAGGATTTGGAGCTGCAGCCTGCCGGCCCCTGGGAAGGAGCACGGGTGCCCTCCCGTCCCTGGCTTGGGGGAGTTGCCCACGTTCCCCGAGGAGGGGAATTACAAGAGGCAGGTGAAGGCACGACTGGTGTTATTTCTTTTGTGAAGCAGAAAGAAACCTGTTTGTGTGTCTTTGAGGAGGGCTGGGCAGCTTCCACGCCCTGCCAACCTTGGCTACCCAGTGCAGCATGGCTTGGTCTTAATAAACTTTGCTTGAGTTGTTGCTCTTGCATTGAGCATCTTTGGCATCTGCGAGTGCTCCCTTTTGCCCCCCTGGCGGCTACGAGAGAGGCCCTCTTCTGTGGCAGGCACGGGGCAGAAGATGGGTAGGGCACTGAGTGGGGCACCCTTGCTTCTGAGAAGACCCCTGTGGGGGATTGCTCTCCCGTGGGCTGTTCCTTCCTTGGAAAATCTTCCTTGGCTTGCTTTGGGAGGGGAGAGCCCAGCAACCTGTCTCCCCAAAGATGAGCAAAACGGGGCTCGCCTCTATAATGCTTTATTCGGCTTTCTCAGGTGCCCAGGGAAGAGCATTTCAGCAGGACAATCAAAATCCCCTCTGATCGCCTCAACACTCCTGCCAGACCTTGCGTCTCCTCAGAGGAGTCCCCCTCCCCCACCAGTGGAGAAGAAGGGGGTGGGCCAATTTTCCAGGTCTCTCTTGCTCTCCTCCCCAATGGCTCACCTCTGCTCATGAACCCTTCCGTCCCTTCTCAACCTCTGCTGGAGCGGCTTTCCCGGCAATTGCCCAGGCCTCCCTGCCCAGAGAACTGAATCGGGTAGGGGGATTGCCTGGCAGAGGACACAGGCTGGCCAGGAGCAGCTCCGCTGTCAGCAGCCCCTAAAGGTCCCCCTGCCAGACCTTCCTTTGGGTGCCCAGCCCCTCGGTCCCCTTTCTGGCCTAGGCCACCCCCTCCCAATCCGCCCACAGCAATCCCAGGCAAGGGAGGAGCCACAGAGGGAGCAGGGAAGGCCCCCCCTTCAGGGCCCACCAGGGCTTCCAAGCCGCTCCCCATGACCAGGGGGGCAGTCCAAGGCTAAAAGGTCCACCAGGCCCTTGTTGGCCAGGGGACCGTCCAGGGCAGTCCCCGTGCTCCGAGACCCCAGTGGGCAAGGCGTTAAAGGCCCGTGAGGTCTACAATGGCTTTAATGAAGATGGTGTCTTCGCGCACGTAGGAGTTCTTGGACTCCATCTTGGCGAGGGGGCAGAAGAGGGGGCAGCCGCTGGCAATGTTCATGTCGCTGATGGGCCGCTGGAAGGAGGAGGAGGCCACATCGGGCCGGAAGGCGTCAATGACGTGTTCGCGGTTATTCTGGTCCAGCAGCATCAGGGTGACCTACGGAGGAGACAAGAACCTGGCGGTAGCCTCCCTCATCTCTGGATCCCTTTTGGCCTCTGCCCTTGCAAAAACCCCAGGGGGGTCTGGGTCACTCACTGGGGCAGGAAAGGCTGCTCTGTCTGGTCTTGTCTGAAGCTTCAGAAGCCAAGGACTCCCACCAGGTGCGCCCCTCCCTCCCTGCTGCAGGCCCAGCAGCCTTGTGGCCCCCAGGACCCTACCTTCTGGTTGAAAGGCCACCGCAGCAGGGAGTCATTGGGCCCTTTCATTACCACGAAGAAGAGAGACAGGTGGCTGCCACGCCCGGTGCCGTCCCCATTGAGGTAGATCCGCAGGCACATCTTGTAGCCGTACTTGCTGGTGTAGAAGGCTGGCCAAGCAGAGCAGAAGACAGTTGGGAGGAAGCAGTTTCCTTTGGCTTGCCCTGCCCTGCCCCACCCGTTCTCTGGACTGCAGCCCCTGCGCCCCCCCACCCCACCCCTGGTCCACCCAAGATCAGAGCCTGGAGGTTCCCAAGGTGGCTTTCCCCACCTGGGGAGAAGATGGCTGGAGAGCGCCCCGCGACTGCCTCCTGCCGCTTCCTGGCAAAGTCCGAAATCTTCCAGATGAAGATGCCATCGTAGGAGGCCGCTTCCATCTCCTGGATGGTGTGCTCCATCTCGGCCAGGGCCAGGTCCTTCAAGGCAATGCTTCTCTCCAGTTGCCGCACCTGGGCCAGGAAGGCACACCCGAGGCTCCCAACAGCTCTGCTGCCACCCAGAGCCTTGGAAGGGGTGCTCTGCATGAACCTAGGCCTCCCAAAGTGACCCCTTCCCCTTCTACTTTGCCCAGGCCAGGAAGTGGGACCGAGACCCACTCTGAATGTCTCACCACCAGGGAGCCACCAACCTCAGTCCTACCTTAGCGCTGAGGGCCTCGATCTTCTCCTGGTCAAGCTGATGCTGGCGGCTGGCGGCTTCGGCCACGAGCGACACCTTCTCCACCTCCCGGTTCAGCACACAGACGATGTTCTCAAAAGTGACTGTCTTCCTCTCCAGGGCCTCGCATTTCCCCAGCAGTTCTAAAGAGCTGGGCAGCTCTGCCTCTGGAACCAGGGGCCTGCCCCCCGCCAGGATGCAGCCAGCCTCCGCCGAGAGGCGGTCCAGCAGGGGCTCCAGCTTGCTGGACGCAGAGCCCAAGCTCAGCACGAAACTCAGCAGCATGTAGAGGTGCTCACCCAGGTGGCTCCTCTCGTGCTCGGGGAGCTTCTCGTTCTCCATCTGCGAAGAGCAGGAGAGTCAGGCGGGCCAAGAGGGCTCTTTGGGGGCCGCCAGGACACAGGGATGCTGTCCGAGCGGCTGAACGGGCTGCTCCAGAGTCAGCCTCCCTCCCACTCCCTGCTTTGAAGCCCAGCGCCGCAATACCAGGTGGGTGCAGCCGACCGGCTGGAATCTGCAGGGGGCTCTGCATTTGCTGCAGGTCTTGACATGCTCCAGAAACTGCGGAAGAGGAGAGCAGCTTCAAAAGGAGCGGGAGGAGCATCCCTTCACCCACCACATTTCTGTGTCATTTCTGCCCCATCTGACACCCGAGCGAGAGGTGACGGGGGCCCATCTCAAAAGCACCAGAGCCTCCTCGGGTCCTCTTGCTGGTGGAGGGAGGCATTTGGGTAGGCCAAGGTCACTGCCCCGCCCCACCACAGGGGGTAGAAAGGTGGGCCACCCAAGGGGACCTTGTTGGGGTACTAATACCAAGGGCTTCACTGCTGACCTTCTCCCGGGGGATCATCTTCTTTCCGCAGCCCTCGCAGGCCAGGGGAAATTTGGGGCACATGGCCTCATGGGCCTGGCAAAACAAAGCTGCAAGTTAGGCCACATTCTGCCCCCACCTCTCCTCCTCCAAGGACACTGCTGGCCTTCCACAGCTGGCACTCAGCGGCTAGGCTGCCCGGAAGGAAGGAAGGAAGGCAGAGCTCTACACTGCCTGGGAAACAGGGCACCGGAGCAATCAAAACCAAGGCCACACCTTTGTGCTCTGAATTGGGATGCTTTTAAGTGCTGCTGCAATAATACACCTGCCTTTTCAAAGGGCAGTTCTCAGGAATGGGGGTGGGGGAAACTGGCCCGTACCTTGCTTTCAGAGAAGTGGAAAAGAGCTTGGCAGTATTTGCAGCTGAGGCTCCTCTCGGGACACTCCTGCTCGGCGTGGTGCTCCTTCTCGCCTAGCCTGACCAGGCCGTGACACGCAGGACAGGCCACCAGCATGTCCGGGCAGCTCCCTTCGTGACAGCTCTGTGGCAGAAGGACTGGCATTTCAGCACGGCCAGCAGGCCAAAGGAAGGCCCTCGCCACCTGCGCCCCTCCAAGGCAGCTCAGGAAAGCAGGCTGCACTTGAAGGGAGCGGCCGTTGAGCCTGGAAACTCACCCCAAAAGGGGGGCACAAAAGCCCCATTGCGCTGACATTCTGCACCCCAAAAATGTCTGTAATCAATTTGATGGCTGTGGAGAGGATCTGTTCGAGGCCACCCAGCTTGTTCTTGCTGGGGCTCATTTATTTTCCAATTATCTTCATAATTTTTAATGGCCTTGACTGTTGTGTTTGCAAAATCAACCGGGGGGGGGGGGGGGTCCAGGGGTGAGCCATGCCCATTGCTCTGCTTCAGATAGGAACCCTGCAGATTGGGGAGGAGGGGGCGGCGCTGAAGCATGCAAGCTCCTATTGCGAAGAGGCAGGTGGTATTCTGTGTATTCTGGCTGGGCTAAAGAAAAGCGGGGCCCCAACTGAGGGGAGTTGGGTGGCCTGCCTGGCTGAGATAACCCAGCCTCCCACCGAAGTCAGAACTCTCCAGAGGGCCTGGAACCTGAATGGAGAAGGCTCCTCTCCTCCCAAGTCGGATCTTGGGACGGCCCTTCACAGAGAGGCAACTCCCTCCAGCTGAGCCAGCAAGCCACACATCTGGAAGCAGAGATGCAACTGAGACTCTTCTGGGCACCTTCTGAAGGCTCTGAAGGCCACTGGGAGGCCTCACGGTCTTTTCAAAGAGCTGCAAGTAGCAGGGAAGCACTTTCGCTTTCCAGAGCCAAAGCCTGCAGTGTCGCCCACCCAAAGAGAAAGTAAAAGCAGCGCCAGGAGGCAGCTGGCGGTCAAAGGTGGGAGGGGGGGCAGTTTCTCTTTGCTGGTGTCGGATGACAGGCAGGAGAAGCTGCCCGAGACCCGATCCAGAGCAGAGGCGCTTTTCTCTTGGCGCTGCCAGCAGGCCCCGTCTGTCCTCTGGGGTTGAATAACCAGCAAGTATTTTAGGGACTTTCCAGAGGGTGTCACTGTGCAGGCTTCCGCCAGGGACTTTCCAAGCTGGAAGCTCTGACATTCAAAGCACGCAGCCCAGCTGCAGACACAGCAAGACAGGCGCCTAATTGAGATTTAGTCTCCGGTTCTCCATGGGAAGCGGGGGCTGGAGAAGACTTTGCCCATCCACAGAGCTCCACTGGGCCACGTGGCTCATGGCAGAGAGGCGGGGGGGGGGTTACGAGGGGCCTCTTCAGGGAGAGGAAGTGGGCTTCAGTCTTTGACCAGAGAACTAACTCAGGCCCTTCCATCTCCCCCGCTCAGAGCATGGCGCAGTCTCCTTAGACCCAGGTCTCCCTCCGCTCCATGAAGCCTCCATGCAGACTCTGGAACTGAGCACTGGGGGGAGGGAAGCGTCTGGACGTGTGGTGGAGGGGGGGGGAAAGGGCCCTGCTTGGGGAGGACAAGCAGTAAAGCTGTGTTGAAGGCTCCCTGGCCCCCAAGAGCACAGACCAGGCAAGAGAAGACTCACAGGGAGCAGGGGATGGTGCCACTACCCCACATACAGTTCTGACCAAAGGCCCCCACCCCCCAGGCAAGGGAGGGCCAATTCCCTGCCCTTTTCCACTGAGCCCCCTGCTCAAACACGGAAGGGCTGCTGAAGGCCCCCTCCTGGGATCTTTACCTCATATTCTTTTATGGAGCCTTTCCATGTGCAACCTTGGTGGGGACAGATGGCCGGGAGACTCTCCACTTCCCGCCGAGCTGCGTTATCTGGGAAAGCCTCAAAGGGACAAAAAGGGAAGGATTAAGTACAGAGATGCGAAGAAAAGACTGGCCGGGCAAATTTGCACCAACAGCTTGCCTGCGGGGTTGGCCAAGGAAGAACACGGGAGCGGCTGCTGATTCTGGCACAATCCGTGGCCAAACCAGCAAGCCAGCCCAACTGGAAAGTTTCGCTGGGAGAGGGCAAGGCAGGGGTACTCCCCCAACTGACTGGCTGAGCTGAAGCCCTTCCTGATCGGGACAGAGGAGGAAGAAGCGGCCCCTCTTCATGCCTGTCCCAGTTACTGGGAGGTTGTGACCGCAGCCCCTTGGAATGCCAAGAATTTGCACTGAGGTGCCTCAAAGGGAAGCCTTCGGAAGAGAAACAGGGACGGGGAACTTCCCTTCACCTTCACTTCAAGGGCCCCCATCTGACCCAGCCGACCTCGTCCACCCTCTGAGCTGCCTGGAAGGACAGCTGGACAAAACTCCTCTCGAGGGGGCTGCACTTACCACCCCTGGTTCCAAGATCGAGGCGCCTTCTTCGTACAACCCCTCTTGAAGACAGGCTGCACACTTCTGGGGCCCTGAGCTGGCAGGGAAGAGGAAGACCGTGAGAACAACCCCGAGACCCTCCCAAGTCAACTGGGCAGCCCATTCCCCAGCAAGACAAGCCACCTCAACTAGGAAAGGGGCTGCATTTTGCCCTGACATCATTCAGTGTCTCTCTGAGCGTGTGTAGTTGGGCTTGTTTGGCTCCAACTGATTGCACAGCTGCCGGCCACCCCCACAAGGGAGAATTGTTTCCAGGTCAGAATTGTTTATAGGGAGAGCCACCCTTCCTTTTTAGTCATGCCACTCTGACTGATCCTGAGGTGTGCAGCTGATGCCCTCCATATTACAACTCCTGAAGCAACAGGAATAATCCCCAAGTTGGCAGGTGTCAGATTGCCTATCCTGGGTATAATTAAGCAGATGCTCTCTTTTGCTGCAAAGGCTGACTTACTCCCTTTCTTTCTGCAGGGGGACGGAGGTGGAGAGTTAATGAAAAAGATGTAGCAGTTTCTTTCTGGGGTGAGAATTTGGTTCGGGACTAAGCAGGTGAAACTGCATGTGGGGCGATCCTAAGAGATCTTTCCCACCTTGGAAAACATCAAGACCCAAAGCCGGAAGGGACTGCCGGCTGAGCTATCAGCCATGGGAGGAACCCGTTCCCCTCGGGCTCTTGGCAAGGTGTAAGGAATTTGGGGAGAGGGTGATCTTTGCCAGCATAAAGTTGGTCCTCAGGGGAGAGCGTTTGAAACCCAGCACGCTTCCTCCATCTGCAAAGGATGTGTGAGTGAGATTCAAGCAAAGGGAGACAAAGGCCTGAGTGGCGCAGCAGACTAATGCTACTGTTAAAAGGTAGTATTTAGCTTCCAGCTGCCTGCAATTACTGCGAGTTCGAATCTCGGCAAGGCTCAAGGTTGACTCAGCCTTCCATCCTTTCTAAGGTAGGTAAAATGAGGACCTGGTTTGTGGGGGCAATAAGCTGACTTTGTATAAAATATACAAAAGTATGAAGGCTATTGCTTAACGCCTTGTAAGGCGTTGCCCTGAGTCTCCGGAGAAGGGCGGCATATAAATAAAATTAAAAAAAAAAAGGCACCTTAGGATCTTCTTCAAGCAAAAGGAGCAGTAGCGATGACCACACTGGGCTTGAAATGGCCGCCGCAAAATATTCCGGCACTCTGAACACAGGTACTTGCCCACCAGTTCAGTGCCCAGAATCTCCTTAGGGAAGCCTGGCTGGTTTACGTCCAAAGAGCCAGGAGGGGTTGCGTTGGCCGATGCCATGTGAACCAGCCTGTTTGCGTGGCCTTCACAACCCTGGAAGGAAGGAACAAGGGCCACAGTTCAGCTCCATGTTAAATACACCCAATTAACCCTCTGGTGTGGCTTTAGGGCCCCCGGCCCTGCTCCCAACTGGGCAATGGCTGGTTCCAAAGGGCCCCTGGCTGAAGCGGCTCAGCCATCTGCGAGGCTGCCATCCATCATCCACAGCAGCTTGTGAGCAGGTCCCCAGGTGGGCTGAGCCGGGGGGGGGGGGGGAGGAGGGTCTGCCTTAGCCGAGTTGCCTTTGGAGCCAAAGGCAGGTTGGCTAAGGACGATTGCACCAGCTCCAAAGGCAGCCCCACCCCTTTAAAGCTGTTGCCTCCCTGTGTGGCCCCGAGGACCCTCACTCAAAACGGGCTCCCCTTTCAGCCACCGAAGCCCCCAGCTTATCTCCTCTCCAACCCTCCATCGGCCGCCTTCGGAGCAAAGCTGAGCCTCCGCTGCGCTGTCCGGGGCCGCCCCGGGAGAGACTCGCCCCAAGGGAAGGGCGGGCGGCGGCTCAAACGCTCCGGGACAGCCGGCCTCCCACCTACCTACCGCCGGAGTCCGGCCCGTGGCCTGACCGGGGACCAGGCGGCGCCTTTCCGCGCTTCCACCGCCTCAGGAGCCCCAAAGGAGCCGCAGCCACCGGCGGGCCGGGGCGGCGCATCCAGGAGGGCCCGTCGGGGAACCGGCCGGCTGGGCGGAGGGGCTCCCCGGCCTCTCGGTCCCCGCATCCGCAGCGGGCATCGCCGCCGGGCAGGGGGAGGAGCTCCCGCCTCTGGAAAGCCCCTGGAAGCCGCCGAGGGCCCCGAGCCACGTGCCGCCCCGCCGGGCCGAAGGGGAGCCAGTCAGCCCCCCCCCCCCCCCACGAGCCCCTGCGCGGGAAGCCCCGGTGTCTGTCGCGAGCGCCCGGGGAATTCCCCCGCCCCTCCCCCCGCGGAGAGTCCCGCTCTGCGACCGCGGCGACCGCTCCCCCCCCCCCCCCCACTCACCCGGAGCCGCGTCCGGCCACCCAAACGCCGACCGGAAGTTCCCGTAAGCTCCACCCAGCGCTTCCGCCATTTGCCTTCGCCCGGGCGGCGCCGCCTCCGAAGCCCCGCCCTCGGGCCCCGCCCCCCGTTGCTATTGGCGCGGGGGCGTGGCCCCGGCGGAGTTGTCCGGCGCGCGGGAAGGCAGCTCCTGAGGTAGCTCCGCGTCCGTCGCCGAGGGTGGTGCCGGCGGCGGCGCCTCAAGCGAGTCGGCCGGACGGCTCGGGGCCGGGATCGGCTGCCTCCGATCGAAGCGCCTTCGTTTTGCCTCGGTTCCCAGAGGGGAACGGCCCTTTCCCGTCCAGAGGAAGCTTCGTTGTTCGCGACGGTTCATCCGCTGCACCTGAAATCGCGGCTTTCTGAGGCCACCTGAGAGAAAAGAGCTGAGTTGCTGAGGAAGCCCTTGGCTCCCCTCATGGTACTACGCCGTCCTTGGTCGACCCCTGCAGGGAGGGACGGAGGGCAGAGACGGTCCGGCGGGTTGGGAGGGGGGATGACAGGCGGCGCGTCATTCCGAAGAAGCGAAGCTTCCCTGGAAAATTGGATTCTCGCCTAAGATTAAGATATTGATCGGCCGGCCAGGCGCCTTTTGCGCATGCTCCTGAGAAGGAATCTGAGGGCTGTCATCGCTTTCGGATTACTGTACCTCCCTCTGAAGAGGAGGGGAACCTCTTGTCGTTCCAGCCAATCATACGACAGAGCATCATGAAAGGCTGGACGTACAACCTACTACGAAGGGGTTTCTGGGAGAATTCCCAGGGACAGTCTTGCAGGAAACTGCCTTCTCTCAGCCAATCCTAGGACGGAGAGCCTTGATCGACAAAAGAGCTGATCTATTAAAGGACTTCAAAACAGAGGGTGTGGAGGCGTGACAGTTATTGTGACGTCGTGAGCCCCCATCGAGGGGAGGAGCCGGCCAATCTCGTTGAGGTTTCGGCCTTGAGTGGCAGCGGGACGGCCCAATGGGGGTGGCGCGCGTTCCGCCCTCGCGAGGTAAAGACGGGATGAGGGAGGGAACGGGGAGAGGGACGGCCTATTGCGGAGGTTGAGCAGCGAAGAGGCGGCGGCAGAAGCAGAAGCGGAGGCAGGAACCAGAAACGCCATGGCGGAGAGCGACTGGGACACGGTGACGGTGCTGCGCAAGAAGGGCCCCAGCGCGGCTCAAGCCAAATCGAAGCAGGTGAGGGTAGGCAGGAGCGCGCGTGCGCAGCCTCTTCAATCCCCGCCCATCTCCCGGTGGGAGGAGTGCCTGCGTAGAGCCCACGTCAATCGATCGGGAGGCACGCCCACCCAGCCCTTATTTGCATGGGCTCCGCTCGCGGGGTCTCCCGGGCCTTCCTCTCCGCCCCGATCGGGCGGACTCGGCCCGCCCGGCTGCTTCAGGCTCGTGCTCGGCGGGAAGGCCCCCGCCGGACTCGCTGCCGGCCCGGAACGGCATCCGCGGAGGGGCCGCGCCTCACCCTTCCCTCGTTCCGGGCCGGAGAGCAGCAGCCCGGGCCGCCGCGCTCGCAGGGCGCCCCCTGCCGGCCAAGAAAGAAAGGCCCCCTCCGGGGTGGGGGGCTCGGCTGGCCCGGAGCGTCCCCGGAGGCGCCCGGCGGAGGAAGCGGGGCGGGTCTCCTTCCACGGGCCGGTAACGCTCCCGTTGCTCTTCAGGCTGTGCTGGCGGCTCAGAGGAGAGGCGAAGACGTGGAGACCTCCAAAAAGTGTAGGTGTCGCCGGCGGGCGGGCCGAAGGCGCCCCCGTTAACGAAGCCGCTCCGGCGCCTTCCCGGGAGGGGGGCGGGCAGGCCGAGGCAAGGCCCCTTCCCCAACCGCCGCCGGCGCTGCTCCTTCCCCCGCAGGGGCCGCAGGGCAGAACAAGCAGCACTCGATCACCAAGAACACGGCCAAGCTGGACCGGGAGACCGAGGAGCTGCACCACGACCGGGTCCCGCTGGAGGTGGGCAAGGTGATCCAGCAGGGCCGGCAGAACAACGGGCTGACCCAGAAGGACCTGGCCACGGTAAGCGGCCGGCGGGGCGGAAGGGCCGGGCCTGGGTGAAGCCCGCCCCACCCCGTCCCTTCTGCTCCGTGCAGCTGCCTGCCTCTCCCCCTGCAGAAAATCAACGAGAAGCCCCAGGTCATCGCAGACTACGAGTCCGGAAAGGCCATCCCCAACAACCAGGTGCTGGGCAAGATCGAGAGGGCCATCGGTGAGTGCGAGTCCCACCACACACCGCCTCTGCGTGGCTGAGTTGTGGCCCGAATGCCCGGCTTGACATCCGCACACAGCGCCACAAATTACGGTGCAGAAGCTCCCCAAGGCCTCTCACAGCCGACCGAGATCCCCCGCCTCACCAGGCTGCTGCAGGTGCCCGTCCCCGACTGAGTCTCTCTGCTCTTTTCCAGGCCTTAAGCTCCGAGGGCGGGACATCGGCAGGCCCCTCGAAAAGGCTCCCAAAGGGAAGTGATGACAAAGCCTCGAAATCAGTTTGCCCCGACTGATCTCGCCTGGCCATTCGCTCTTCTGGCGTGGCCAGGGCGTCTCTGCCAGGCTGAAACCTCCAAACTCTCAACCCTGTTGTGAATCCACGAACTTCTCTCAGCCGACATTCCTGCCTTCCTTTTTCAAAGTATCCAAATCCTAATAAAGCATCTGAATCTGCCAGGGGCAAGAAAGAAAAGTTGTCCTTGTCTTTGGGGCTTTTAAAGTGCCCAGGGCCGTTTGGAAGGGGGTGGGGATACAAGAAGCAAGGCCGGCTCCCCTGGCTTGGTTTCAGTGGGGAGGGGGCCACGATGGTGGAAAGCGGTCCATGGTTGCTTTAGGGCCCTTCGCAGCGGCTGCTTTTATCGAGGCTTTCAACCGCCTGCGTCTGTCTTGCATTTGGAGTTGTTGGGGGGGGGGCTCACATTCACTAGCCTCTTTCCAGCAGAGGATCGTGTCGAGGGAAGTACCTTATTTGGGGGTGCCAATCAAGGCTTTTGGGGGAGGGGGCTGCTTGTGGCCCTTGAAAGCAAGGGTCATCTGAGTAAAGAGTCCTTGGATGGTAACCCAGCAAGTTCACACAAGAGATTAAACCAGTGTTCCTGTGCCTGGCACTCGTGTTGGGAGTGGGTTTATTTTAATTTCCTTATGTGGTGGGTTGAAATGCTTTCTGAGCAGCCATAGATGGGATGTTCCAACCAGTCGTGGGTTTCCATTTAGTTTGCTACCGGTTTGCTTGTGCACACGATGCTTCTGCGCATGCACAGAAGTGTCCGGCCGGGTGGGCGGAGCCTCCCGCTGCCCCTGCTCCCAGTTCACGCGAACTGGGGCAAACCGGTAGCAACCCAACCTTGGTGATTGCCTGCCTATCTCTGGTCAAGAAAAGAGACTGATTCAAACCGTGTCTCAAGGATGCCCCCTTTATTGGAGTCGCTCCAGTTGCCTCTCCAAAGCAACAGAGGCCAATGCAAGACGAGACAGGGAAGGCAGGGGCCGGCCTAGGACGTTGCTGGGTCAGGAGCCATCTGGGGCAGGATGATCCTGTCCTGGAAGCCAAGGGCAGAGACGGGCTGGTCTTAGCTGGCAACCAAGAGATTGGTTGGTCTGCTTGGACGGTCAAAAGGAAGTTCCCACCCAGCCACCCATCCCAGTTAAAAGTAGCCTGGCTGGAGAGCAGAGGGCCACATGCCCCCCCCCAGCCCTTACATCTCGAAAGGCAATGTTGTCAAAACCCTGCCCGTTGCCGTCCTCCTCCACCATCCTTTCCTGACTGCCTCTCCTCTTCCACAGGCAACAGGCGGTTGCGATCAGCAGCAAGAGGACGGGGTTCACCACGCCAGCCACTATAGCAATGGTCGATACTGGGAGAGGGCTGCTGCTCTCTGCCAAGGCAAAAAGTAATGGGGAGAGCCTCTTCCAACCAGCTCAGGGTGGCTCCCGCAGGGATCAGCCCACAGCTGTGACTTTGCAGAGGGCCTGACCTTCCGTTTGGTCTGCCTGGGGAGAGGCACAGTCCGGCCCAGCTGCGTAGTGGAGATCGTCCAGCGCAATCACCCCTGAGCTCGCCCAGGCTCCGCTGCTGGCCTCCAGGACAATCTGAAGGGAAGAGAGCTGCACTCAGGCTCAGAAGGACACGATGGGAGACCGAGGCAGGGAAGGGATTCATGGAGGGTCAAAGAGACCCACCAAAAGACTGCATCCAACGCCGTGATGTGGGGTGCAGTGAAGCCCCTAATTCGGAAGAGGCAGTGTGAGGGTTATGGCAAAGGGAGGCAGATGCCTGGGGCTCAACGGCCAGATCCCCAAACCTGCCGTTGCCAGCTGCCTCTTCCTTCGGGTCCAGGGAGGGAGGCTGAATTCAGAATACCTGGAACTCCACGGGGCTGGTCACCAGGAGCGTTCGGTTCATCCAAGTCCAGCTCTGATGGCCTCTGGCGCTCCAGATCACCCTTTCCCCCTGCGCCCCAGTCAGCCTCACTGTGAGCTCTGCAGGAGCTGGCAATGGGGGGGGGGGGGGGGGGGGTGTCAGCATAGAGACCCAAGCTTTAATAATGCCACTTCTCCAGCAGGGTGCCCCGTCTCAGGTGGGCGGGGGTAGGGGGACCCCTCGCCTGACTTACAGCTGTGGCCAAGGAAGTCCATGTGGTAGTGGAACCGCAGGCAGGAGCCCGTAGTGGATGCCAGAGGCTCGCTCGCCAGGCGTGCAGTGCTCTTTCCCAAGCTCAGCACTGCCAGGTCAACGTAGGCATAGTGACCTACAAAGAAAAAGCTGAACGGCAGGAAGGAAAGATGCGCCAGGCCTCCTTCTGCAGAGCTGGTCCAGAGAGAGCGTGACCTTCATTGGGGCCCTGCGCACGAGGAGGGTGAGCACTCCAGAGCATGCAGGGGTTCGCCGGATCTGTGAGCTACTTAGGGCTTTTCTGGGGGAATTTAAGCCACTAAACGGACTTCAGTTTCCTTCTGTCTATTAATAACTCGTGAGTTAAGGATAATCGGAGCCCCAAACATAGGCAGGGCTAATCAATTTCCAGGAGGAGCCACCAACTCCTCCTACTCACAGCCCCTTTGCTGGTTCAGCGAGTATTCAGGAGGCGTCTGTCGGGCAGATGCCTCCTGGCAGCCCAAGCTCCTCTCGTGCAACCCCAGGGACCGAGCGCTAACCTGCATTGGTGCCGAGGGTGTGGTCTTCCTTGGGAGATGGGGAGCGCAACGTGGTGGCTGCTTCCTTCCAGTCCCAGCTGTACCAGTCTCCGTGAGGCTTGCTCCAGCCACAGGGGCCTGACTCAAAGTCACAAGAGGCTGGGCCAAAAGGACCCCATGGTTACCTTTGACCATGGCTCCCCACAACAACTTTTCCAAGTGGAAAGGAGACCATGCTCTGGCCTGGTGTGCTTCCAGGTGCCGTCTCCTCCCACTGTGCCCATAACATTCCTTTTTCTTTCTAAAAGAGGGGAAATGGGAGCAGGCGAGACTCAAGCTGCCCCCACCTGGTTCAGAGCAGCCACCTTCCTTCACAAAGATGTCATCGAGGGCGATGTAAGAGGCCGGCTCTCCACCAGCGCCCGTCACTGCGAAGGCCACCTGTTCACGGAAGACACAGATGGCGTAAGAGGCTCGTGGCCAGCCAGCTCAGACTGTTTCCAGGCGAGCCAGATGTTCAGCTGAGGTTCAGAAAGGCCACTGTGCCCACCTGCCATCTCCCGTGGACCTTTGCCACAAAGCTGCCGTACCGCCAGGCTGCCCCCTGTGTCAGATCCGGGCTGAGCATCCCTGTCTCTGCTCCCTCTCCCTTCTCCTCTTCCTCCTTCGCATAAGCAGTCAAGGATCCTATGGGAAGCAACCAACAGAGCAGAAGAGTCTAGAGCCCGAATGCTGCAACTGCCCTCTGCTGTGTCTCTGGGGAAGGGCAATGCCAGAGTTACTTGGGGGGAGGCAGGAAGCGAGTTGAGGTCTTAGACCTCTTGGCATCAGGCTCTTGCAGCACGCACGCCCCAAACCACCAAAAGTGCAGATGGCACCACTGCCTGCTCACCTGGCTCACTGCCGCTTTGGTAGTACCAAAAGGAGACACAGTGGGTGCGGAGCAGAGAAGGGAAGGCGCGAGAGCGCAGGATGGTCACCTGCCCCAAAGGGAGATTGTCTGCACCAGTCTGCAGGATCATGTAATGCCCTGTGGGGGGGACGGTAAATTGTCGAAATAAAATCTCCAAGAGTGGTACCTGCTATGAATAAAGCATATACTACCTGCCTTCCTGAGCCAGGCCATCATTTGGCCCCACATCTGGCATGCCTCATTTGCAGGAGCACCTGCAGGAGGACCAAAGCGTTTCTCAGGTCTCCCTGCAGGGCTTCTTAGTCCTGCCCTCCCCAGGGACAAAAAGGGGCACCCTGCTGCCTGCTACCTCTCGGCTCGCCCATGGTGTGATCCACGGGAGGGCCCCAGCCTCTGGCGCCATTCTGCCGCTGCCACGCCTGCTGCTTGGGGACCGAGAAGCCGCATTCGCCGGCCTCGAAGGAGCAGTGCCTCTGGGCTGGGCAGGCCCCGGGGGTCACCGTGAGGTCATCCAAAGCTATGCTCCCCAGGAAGCCGTCCCGAAGAGCCTCAAAGATCACCTGCAGGACAGGTGGCAAAAGCGGCTTCAGAGCTAGAACTATTGACTCCCTTGTGCAGACCCAAGTTTCTAGCCCTCGGGGCATGAAGAAAAATTGACGCCCACTGGGATCTGGGAATCCGAGGAAGACTTTCAAGGGTGCAGGGAAATCTATTCTAATCCAGGGAAAAGAAACCTATCCAGATGGATCTAACCAGTCCGAATTCTACTCTGCTTCCTTCTTCCTCGATACAGAAAGGGGGTTATTTATTTTGAGGCTGAAGGGAGGGCACAGAGGATGCCCCGGAAGCTGGCTGGTGCCAATCCAATCCAAAACGAGCTGGACTAGGGCAGGCTGTCCTAACCTGCCCGACCCCATCCTAAAGGGACACAGCGGTGTGAGCAGCTGCCTGGCTGACAAGGAGAAGCCGCATCAGCCTAACTCCTCCAAGGAGCACCTTTCCAGATGTTCCCGAGGTCAGCACCGTGCTCTGGGTTTCCTTCACGCAAAGGAGACGGTTAGGGTTAGGGTCTCTTTACCTGGTAATCCTGACCAGGCTTGGGGGAAATGGTGGAGGATGCTTGATGCCAAACAGCCCCGTGGCTCCCCCTCCTGGTCCAAAGCACCTGCTCTGATTCTCCAGCTGCCTTCACTTTCAGGGCCAGGGTCCCTGCAAAACCAAATTCTCCATGTGTGCGTCTGTGTTGGGGGTGTAAACATTCTGAAGGGGGCCAACCTGGACGTGTCACGCCACACACAGCTGTTCTTTCATGCCGGAGAAATCGTTTAGGATGCCGTCTTCACTCATGGAAGGCTGGCTGGGAGATCACGGAGCCTCCGATCAGAGAAGATCACTCACCCCAGCAGATGGCGGGAAGATTTAAGCACTTCCCTGCAGCACAGCTGAGAAAGGCGGCAGGATCCAGAGCGAAGGCCTTCCTTCTTTGGGCAGCCCTCGGTCCCCTATGAGTCTTCTTCACAAGACGGAGTGAAGGCTGCTAAGATGGGAGGGGAGGGGGCCGCTCTGCCCACCTGCAGGATTCTCCTTTAACGTGGGGCTAGAACAGCCTGACCGCCATCTGACACTCACACACATCCACCTGCCTGCCCCTCCACCCCTAACCGGCCTCCTCTGTGGAGGGTGGGCAAGAGGCAGCAGCTCCTGCAGGGGAGTCTGAAGGCTTACCAATCTGGGGGCCATCCATGCGATACCAGAAGGAAAGGCAGGAGGCCTCGACAGCAGCAGCAGCAGAAGCAGCCGCCACCTGGGGAGCAGAAATGAGCCGGGCGCGCCAGCCTGGGTTCCAGGCTCCACCAGGATCCACAAACAGGAAAGAGCCTGTTGAAGAGGAGAGGGGAACTGCGAAGGGCTCTGTGACTGCCTCCCGTGACTGCCTGATCACCTGTTCTTGGCACGAGCGGAGTCCTCTGAGGCTTCTGGATGGACCTCCGAGCCCGCCGGGCGGGGCTTCAAAGTCAGCCACCCACGTCAGGCTGGGCTCTGGCCCAGAAAACCCCATGCCAGCCAGACTACGGCTGCTCTGCAGCTCTACCTGTGCCTGTGGTGTGGTCCACGGCCCCTCTTCGACTTTTGCTCAGCCTCCATTCAAAGCCATCGTTCTGCTCCACATACCAGCTGCACCAGCCGATCTCAAAATTGCAGGACAGCCCTGCCTGGGGGGCTGGGGGAGAAGAAGCAGCCAGGCTATTGCTGGGGATCTTTCCCAGATCAGCCAGTCGACAGAGGAGGCAAAGAATGCAAACACCCCACCCCCACCCCCACCCCACCACGTCATTCCCCTCAAAGCCTGCAACACAAGGTTTGCAGAAGGCCGGGTTTGCAGAAGGCCGGGTTTGCAGAAGGCCGGGTACCTGGCGCTGGGGCTTCGGGGCTGCAGTTCACAAAGGAGATATTGCTGACGGCAAGTGGCAGGGCCCCCCAGGGGCCATCAAGATCAGCCCTGGCAAGCAGCTCAAGCTGAGGAAAGAGAAACAGGGCAAGGGCTTCCCCTGCAGCTCTCCGCTTCTTCCTTCCTCTCAGTGCGGCTGCACCCCAAGTGGCAGCCTCCCCTCGGCCTTCATCCCAGGCCGCACCTGGAAAGAACTGGAGACAGCTCTCCTACCTGGAAGGGCCTCTTCCGTGCGCCCAGAGACACTGTGGCCGTTGCCCAGGAAGTGGTCCCATTGCTCCGGGCAAACCAAGCCCACCAGCGGGTGCCCAGGCTCCCATCGGCAATGGCAAGGGCGAGGAAGCCTGCAGGATGGGGAGGAGAGAAGTAGGTGGTGGCTTCAGTGCCGGGCAGCATTAGGCTGTGCCAAGGGGACAAAGGCAGCACCCATACCTTCTGGACCAGTGGTGAAGTCCATCTGCAGCACACAGCCTAAACCCGAAGGGCCCAACACCGGAGTAGCAGCCCGTGCCATGGAGAACATCTGCCCAGGGCCCTCCTGCAGTCTGAAAGCCGGCCCTGAAGAGGAGGAAAAGAACAATGGTGGGCCCCGGGTCAACCAAAAGACGGCTACAACCCCCTCCTCCTCTCCTCCGTGGCATGGCCCCAGTCCCACTTCTAACCTGACAGGGCCATGTTCCTGCGACCCTCTTACCCACTGAGATGAGCCTGCTGGTGGTCCATCGCAGGTGGCCCACGCTGATGTCCATCCAGCCACCGGAGCCCTTGGCAAAATCGGTCCCTCCTAGTGGGGAAGGGATCAAGATCTGCATCTCAAGGGGCAGACATTAACTGACATTAACGCTGCTCTTCAGGAGCTGGTGGGGGAAGCGGCTCAGGGATCCCCATTGGGAAGGCCGTGCCTCCTCCTGGCCTTGCCATTTCAAAGAATCCCTGCACAACGAGCCAAGTGCTTTTTTCAAAACCCCACCCAAGCGGGAAGGGAAAGGGCTCCTCCGCTCTCCGGGGCCTTACCACACTGCTGCTCATCAGAGGCGTCGTCACACTCAGCCTTGAAGTTACAGAGCATCTGGAGGTGGAGGCATCGCTTACCCTGGTCACAGGTGAACTGCCCCTTGGGGCAAGGGCCGGAGTGCTCCAGCACGGGAGGAGTCGGGAACTGGGCTGAAAAGGACCAAATACCAAGACCTCAGTGCAAGACAGGTCCGGTCAAAGGGCTTCCGAGGGGACTCCGGTAAAGCAGGCGTTTCAAGAGCCCCCCCCCCCCCCCCATCTCCCTTGGTCAGGCAGTTTGTGAGGACAGGGCTTCAACCGTTGCTCAGCCGGCCATCCTACTTCTCCTACTCACTGTCCCGCACCGTCCTGCAGCCAGGAGACAGATGAAGGTCGTCTAGAGCGATGCTCCCTTCCTGCCCACTTCCAATCCTGCCCTCGATGACAATCTGGGAGAAAAATCGATCGATGCAGGGCAATACAGGGGCAGGGACAGAGCTGGAGCCTGGGGCCTGGGGCCACCAGCGACCTCCCAGTGCACTGCCCGTGTCAGCCTGCTCCACCTGGGAGCTTCGAGCACCTGGCACTAGGGCCTCCAGGCTTCGTCTACCTTGAACGTCTTTGTGTCTACGAAATCCACTTTCTCCCGGAACCAGTAATTGCCCAGGTCTCCCGTGCGGCTCCAGACGAGCTGCAAAGCTTCCGCCGTCTGGCTGTAGATGTTAAGGCTGTTGCTGTTTGAGCCATGCAGGTGGAGGTAGAGGACCAGCTGGGAAGAAAGCCAGACAAAGCCACTGGGTGGGAGGGAGGGGCACCCCAGCCTCCATTTCCTCTCCTGCCGTGGATTCAAGCAGCCCCGGGCGGGGAAAGGGGGGGGGTTGGGGCGACCAAGGCTTCTGCTCTCTGGGAAGCCACAGAGAGGTTTCCTTCTTACCCACCCTTCTGGGGAAGACCCCCGAGTCAGAGCGGGATTCAAGACAAGAGAGGCAAAGGGCCTGCTCTGACCACAAGCAGAAGGGAAACCTCCAAGACCCTCCGTAACAGAAGAACAGTGCAGCCAGCCTGTCCAGCTGTGGCCGGAGGGACGGTCAGGCGACTCACGTAGCAGGACTGGTTGGCATCCGGGGCCAGCATTGGGCTGCTCAGCCAAGCTCTTCCCTCGTCCAGCTCCGGCTTCTGGGTCTCGACATACGCGAAGTAGCCTGCAATGAATGGAGCAAGCAGTGCAGGGATGCCGGCTGGACTTCTCCTCCTGCAGGCCACGCCTGGCTCAAAGCCTTGGAAACATTAACTCTGCCTGGAGAGGCCTTTGGGTGACCCCGGCAGATCTTTTCCCCTCCAGGAGGACGGCCAAATCCAGAGCAGAGTGGTCTACCTTGACCGGGACACGGAGCCAGGGGACAAAAGGGCTCCAAGCACAGAAGCCAGCAAGAGGGGCTGGAGGGGCTCTCCCATGCCCTTCCCCTTCGGGAGCCCCCTCCCACGGACCCACCAGAGCCACAGGCTTCTCTCAGGGCAGCCGAGAGCAGTGGCAGCAAAGGGGCAGAAAGCAGCGGGGCCTGCCTGACTTTACCGCTTGGGGTGGAGCTGTGGACTTTTATTGCCTCACTGATCTGCCTGGAATAAGCTCAAAGTCTTGCGCTCTAAGGGTAGCAGAGACCCTAAAAAGTCCAGAGGCGCCTCCTGCAGCCGAAGCCATTCTGAACTGCGGCTGCATTCTCAGACAAACACGGACAGCCATTTCTGCTTCCTTGCTAAACTCACCTTCCCGGCTGTTAGTGCTGTGATCCCGCGAGGGCCCGGCAGGCGGAGAGGCCAGGTGGAGGCTCGAGTTCCTTAGCCAGGGAAGAGTCGTGTTGGGGTCCACCGTCCACTGGCACCAGTCATCCTCAAAGGAACACACTGTGAAGGTGGCTACGGGGACGAGAGAGATACACACACTGGCCCTTCTCAGACCATGGACCGACCTAACTACAGACAGCCTGCCTGGGGGAAAAAACCCCTGGCTTTCGAGAGTGAAACCCCAAAGCTAATCAGCTCAGCCTGGAGTAGGGCAAGGGCAAGGGCCACAGAGGAGAAGCTCTCTGAAGCCCAAGGCTGTTCCAGAGAAGGGGCACCCCAGCCAGCCTCTTCCTGGCAAGCCTGCCAGCTACTCAGTTGAGTGCAATTGGGCTGGCCAGAGTGGGCAAGAGGAAAGAGGCTTGCAGGTTCCCTTAAAGGTCCCTTAAGAGAAGCCACAAGCCTCTGCTCTCAACGTGATCTACAAGATCACATTCAGGTTCCTCGCTCGAGAACCACAAGCAGGAGCCCGGTGCTTTCCTCCCCAGCCACCTCAGGATCCTACGCTGTCATCTGAAGAGCTGCAGATCCGGCTTCAGGATGAGGCTCCCTCCCAGCATTTCTGGGCCTCCAAGACCAAACAGATGGGAGCCTGCCCCCTCTTCCCCACCCCCACCCCCAGTGCTCACCACATTTAGCCTCGTCTTCATCCTCACCAGCCCTGCAATCTGCGGTGCCGTCACACACCCGGTCTGTGGCGATGCAGCTGCCCTGCTGGCAGTGGAAGGCCTTTGAGCCACACATCTGGGGAGCTAGGAGAGACGGGGAAAGGAGCCAGGTGGGGCAAAAGATCAGGCGGAGGCCTCTGCGCAAAGGAAGTAGCCAAGCCCAACTGTGGGGGCTTCCGGCAAGGGTCTGCCCCTTTAGGCTGCATTCACCCTGCTTCGTTCATAAGTAAATTCTCTCTTGAGGACTGGCTGCAGCGATCCATTGTCTGCCTGCCTGCCTGCCTCTCCTACCACTAGATGTTCTGCAACACAAGTCCTCCCATCATCCCCGGCCTGCACAGCCTGTGGCCAAGCAAAGGAGTAGCTTGCAAATCAGAGAGACAGCATCCCACGGGGCCTCCTTGGAGGGGCCTTTATAGGAAACGGAGATTGCAGAGAAGTTCAGGAAGAAATAAAGGAAGGCGCCCTCCCCCCCCACCCCCGCTTTACGTGGGAAGCCGCAATTCCTGAATTCCACATCGTCCAGCGCCAGCTGTGCTGCGGAGGAGAAGGCCTGGGTGGAGGAGAAGGTGACCTGGCAGGAGGGAAAGACTCCAGGTGAGGCTGGGGAGCTCCCGTCGGTTGGAGGCGCGGCTGGGCTTGGATGCCAGGTACCTGGAAACTGCCCGGGATGTGACCGGTGTAGGCCACCAACTCCTGCCAGGAGTAGGTGCCACCTGGAGGGCTTTGCCATAGGCAGACGGTGCGACTTCCCTGGATCAGCTCCAAGGTCAGGAGCGGCTGCTGAGTCTCGTTAAGACCTGGGTTCAAAAGAGCATCTCCGTGAAATGGCAGAGCTCCTTCAGCCAGGAGAAGAGACAGGAGGCTTCATCTCAATCTAGGAGCATATGGGGGGGGGGATCATGCAAGGCACTGGCCCTGCTGGTTCTCTGCCAGCCTACCTGACCCCCACAGGAGATACCAAGCTCGGATCTCGCAGGCAGCAGCTGCTCCTCTCAACAGGGGGGACCGCAGCTGGGCCGTGGCCGCAGGCTTTACTCTCTGCTTTGTAGCCGCCATGTACCAGCCTGCAATGGAGGCGTTTAGAGGAAAAGCGGTTCTCACACAGTGCCCATTGCTCATCTTGGGGTGAGACGAGCCCCCAAAAGGCAAGAGGAAAAATGGGATGCAGATGCCCTCAGCACAGGGCACCTCCCTGGGACTGCTTCAACTCCAGGCCTTCCAGGTGAGGAGGACTTCTCCCCCCCCCCCCCCCCGAAGAGCCTCACCAAGGATCTCCAGCTCCTGTGCCCCTCCCCTCCCCCCGGCAGAACCAGTTACCGAAATCCGTGCCCAGCGTGTGGTCGAAAGGAGGCTCCAGCCCCCATGTGGAGATGCTGGCTTGGGCTGGGTCCCACCGGTAGGCTGAGTTGCTGATGTCCTCCCAGCCACACGTGGTGCCTTCGAAGCTGCAGGTGAAGGGAGCCCCCAGAGCCGACGCCTTCTGATAGCCTGGATGGAGGGGAAGAGCCAGCAGTCCACCCCCTCCCCAAGGAGCATCTCCTGGTCCTGCCCACAGGGGGCTAGCCAGGAAGGGCCAGTGGACCCTGGGGCTCCAAAGGAGCAGCTGTGGGGAGGGCGGGGGCTTGGGGCCTCCTTTCTTGGGGTCTGAACAGTGACTTCAGGCTCCAACAATTCAAGGACAGGATTTAATCGCCAGGAATTGTCTGGAACTGATCCTGTTCACAAGCCTTTTGGCACGGGAATCCATTCCAAGACGGTCAGGTATGTGCTGGGATGGGCAGAGAAGAATGGCGAGAAACCCTCCTGCTTCTGCTTTCGAAAGAGAGCAGTTACTGCCATCTTCTTTGCTGCAATTTTGCCTTAAATTCATCCCGAAGGAACAGAAAGTTGATCAACTCACCACACTGGTTTTCATCTGAACAATCCCAGCAGTCACACACAAAATTACACACATTTGAACTCCCACATCGGTTGACAAACACAGCCTGGACATAAAACGGAGGCCCAACTAAGAGACAAAGAAAGAAACCCCAAATGGGTGGCTCCCAGAGACTATCTACTGGTCCATCTACTGGTCCTCCTGCTTCTCCATGGCTCAAGGCAGCAAAAGCGCCACGGAACCGATTCAGCCCAGAGAGAGCCCAAGCCTTCTCCGAGAGCGGGACATGAACCAGGTTGGTCAAGACACAGGCTTCCACCCGTTGAGACCCCAGGGGCAAATGAGGGCTGCTAACGACCCCATTTAGGGAATTTGCATCCTAGAGTTCAGCTCTGCTCGGACCTGAATGCAGAAAGTAGAGAACTGAATATTCAGAGTAAATCAGTTCTCAGGATTGGAGATAAACCTCCGACTCTCTCCCGAAACCTACAAAGGTGTCAATGGACAGAGTTTAGAGGAAAATGGCAGCACACGGAGAAGCCGCGAGAATGTTTATTATCTACAAGTAGCCACTTTTCTTGCATCTTAAACAAACACAAGCCCAGCCCAAAGGGCACATTTCAAAACACAGGAAAGGCTTTGAACTTTCCAGCAGACATAAAATGGCCCCAGGAGGAGCAGGTGTTCAGGCTGGCCGCCTCCTTCCTTCCTTTGGTTCCCCCAAACCAAAGCTCAGTTGTTCCCCCTCTCAGATTCAGGATCTTTCCATGCAGCCCTAGCAACGGGCTGACTTCCTCCTCTGAAACTCACCCATCGGCATCTGCAGGAGCAGGAAGGACAGCAGCCCCCAGGACCCCGGCATCCTGGGCCTGCCCAGCAGCAAGATCAAGCAGCAGGAACGAGGAGGAGGAAAGCTGCTCCAGCAACTATGTGCCTGGACTTCAACCTCCCTGATCACCTTGCTTTCGAGACACGCGGCAGGGGCCGAGGAGGAGGGAAGCACGGCCACACCAGGCACAGGGTGTGGACTGGCCACAAGGAGGGGGACACGAGCAGGATGCCCACACCCATCTTCAGTGGGGAGAGGGTCCCAACGGCCCTCTGGACACGTTCTTGGAGCAATAAAAGCAGAGAACGACAGCTGCAGGCCACTCTACCAAGCAAGCCAATGCCCTTGTGCCCCAGCGCCACCAAGTCTCGGCTTCCTTTCCTTCTTACGGGCAAAGGCGTTTGATCACTGACTGCTTCTACCAGTCTTTTGTTTTAATACGGCAGAGGAGGGACATCTAACATCGGACCCTTTCTGGTCTAACTTCAGCTCTGGCTTGGTTGCTGCCTACCCTCGGATTGGTGAATTCCTGGCTGGAACAGGAGCTCTGGGCAACATTGGAGGGCTGAGAATGGGCTGCTGGGAGACTCTTCCTCAGCCCACAGGCCTCCTCCAGCCTCTTGCTGTCCTTGGGATTTCTAACCTTTCTGCAAGGCTGCCTGGGAAGCGGTCTATTTTTTTATTGTATGCCATAGATAGAGCTGCTATTAACGGCAAGGCAGTTGTTCGGACGGAAAAGAATAAAGGGCTCTAGTCACCTTGCTATCCAGTAGGAATGTGAATATCTGTCTCCAGTTCAGATCAGTCACAAGTTGTACACTCTTTTTATTTAAATGCACCACGAGAACCAGACTGCGACAGATTGCAAAACCTTGTTTCCAAGAAAGTGAGATTTCACAAGAGCTTGTTGCTCTCACATGCAAGAAATCCAACCTCATTTCCGCGAAGGTGCCCTTGGACTTCGTGCAATCAGGCCGTAATCTCCAGGAAAGATCTTGCAGACTCGCACACTGTCCAGAAATCTCATCCGCAGGTCATTAGCAGGACGAGCCTAAGCACTGCTTTACCACCGACCTGAACCGCCAAAGAAATCAACGTTTCCATGGAGAGGGGCATGCAGAGAAAAAGCCCCCCTCGGCATGCAGTTTGGATCAGGCCCAGAACAGGGCCGTGTTACTTCTCTTCCTAGCAGTTTCCTACAGCTTTCCATGTTACATGAAAAATGTTACAATTACTGTGATTTTGAGGAGGAAAAGAAACCTACTGGCTACAGTTATCAAGAAAGCAAAGCAACTTAAAACTGCAATGGGAACATTGCTGCTTTGTATACATGCGAAGCGGAACTATTGTGGCAGGCAGATGGAGACAATCTTTTTGAGTTTGCATTCTAAATAGTGCAGGTATTCATGCTTATTATTTCAGCTGCTTCCTCTGCGGTTTCCCCAGTCCGCACAAACATAAAACTGTCTTCCTCCCTTCACCGCTGTTTCTCTTAGTCAAAAGACACTGCAGGAAGCGAGTGGATCCAGAAAGATGTGTGAGGGAGCACGACACCTTAGGCAGCGAGCACAATCATTTATTTCCTTCTACCAATGCCAGGCACAATAGGTTCGATCACAGGGCAGTCCATAGAACAGATCCGGAGACTGGCGGGTTTTCAACATCCGGTTTCCCGCATCAGTTCCCGCTTGCTGCTGTTTGGTTGCAAAGGCGAACTCTTAAAGGCAGTGGTCAGTATCCTTCATCGGCCCAGGTGACTTCATAATCGGGGTACCTGGCCTTCAGCTTCTCTGTGGCAATAGCATGTTTTGCTCGGCCAAAACCCTGCAAAAAGCATGGCCACATTACTATGCGCACACATGATGCCTTGTAGATACCAGAGTCAAGGCAGGCTAGTGCCTTTGGCAAATAAAGCCAGGGAAGCTGCGGCTCAATTGAAATCCCAGCTCTGCCCTACCAGGACGAGACTCTGAATCCTTTTTACACCACCCTCCACCCCAGACAGGTCTACAGAGGAACCTCACATGGCCACTAGACCTTCCCTATCCCGGCTGTCCCTCCCCCTGCGGGGATCCTTCTTGGACGAAAAATAACCCTGCATCAATTGACTTTACAGCCTTCCTCTTTGCCTTATGTCCGTGCTGCATGTCTTGGAGAGGATTGCTGGGAAACCAGAAAGCAAATCCTGGGAAGAGAGACGAAAGGACTTTTGAATGTTTAGCCTGCCTTGGCCAAAGAAGACCAAGGAGGGTCCAAATCTTTATGGTTCTGGAGAACCGGTAGCGGAAATTTTGAGTAGTTCAGAGAACCGGCAAATACCTCTGCAGTGGGAATGGGGATTTTGCAGTATCCTTCCCCTGCCATGCCCACCAAGCCACGCCACGCCCACAGGGCCGGTAGTAAAAGAAGGTGGATTTCACCACTGCCCAAAACCCCTCCCTGACCACCTGAAGAGGGGAAGGGCTCTTCTCTTCTCTTCCCTCCGCCAAGACCCCCAACTCCTGGCCTCCCAGGGACGCAGCCAAGGCCAGCAGGTCAGAAGAGACGGGGTGGGGGTGGAAGGGGGAGGGGCCGCGCTGGATGGCCTCGGGGTGCCCCCGACTCTGGGCCGCGCTGACAGGCAGGGAGCCGGACGATCCTCTCCCGCAGCCCCCGCGGGCTCCTTACCACGGAGTAGCCGTAGACGTGGATCTTCTTGGCGCCGCTCTGGTGGGAGATCCGGCCGCCCCCCAGGCACCGGCAGCGGAAGCCCCGCTTCTCCAGCTCCTCGGCCGCTTGCTCGAAGAGGTCGGCTGCGGGGGGGGGGCGAGCAGAGGGTGAGGCGGGCGAGCCGGGAGGGGCCCCGAGGCCGCCTCGGTCGGGGTGGCGCCCGCGGGCGCCGGGAGGGGGCGGGGCGGGCGAGGACGGCGGCCGGTTGCCCGGCAACGGAGCCCCGCCCCCACAGCGCGCCCTCCCCGAGGCCCCTCCCACTCGCGGCCCGCCCGCCGGCCGCACCTACCGTGGTATTCGGCCCAGGCGTGTCCGCGGATGATGTCCTTGCCGGGCCCCGCGCCCGCGGGCTCCACGTGAATCAGAACGTACTTGAAGACGCCGTCCGAGTCGATGAGCGCGTCAGGGACGCCGCCCAGCTCTCCGTCCGCCATCGCCGCCCCGGCTTGGAAGCTTCTGCGCGCGCATTTGCCGACGCACCAATCGAGGCGCAGCAGCCGCGGCTCTTCGCCCAATGAGGCACCGCGGCGAGCCTGAGGCGGTGACCAATCGAAGTGCCGCAGGTGGGAAAGGGCGGGAGAAAGCCGGACCTTTGAGCATGCGCATCCCGCTCCTCGCTGGCACCGCCCACGAGCGGGCGGAAAGGGAAGCGGTCTAGTGAACGGCTGTGCCTCTGAGCATATGCAGAGTTCTCCGCTACCAGCGGGGAAACAAATTGGCTTCACAACGGCCTCCCTTTTGCCGCCTTTGCTGCGAGGTGGCGCTCCGGCTCAGCAATTTATTTGGGGAGGCTGCTTTCCCCCCCCCCCAAGTGTACAGTACGCTGGACGCTGTTGCCTGAGTCGATGGGAGTTGTAGTCCCTCCCCAGAGGACCCCCCCCCGCCATGAAGGAAACAGGGCAGAATTGTGGATTCAGAAGGGATCCGAAGGTCATCTAGTCCAACCTCTCAGATCTCTGTGGTGCCGCCACAGAAAAGCGAGCCTGGGCCCTGGGGCCTTCTCCGAGCACCGAGACGCTGGCAGAGTCCAAGCAATGGTGCCGCGGGGGGGGGGGGGGGGGTTCCCCGCTCTCCCCCCCCCAAAAAAATGCGAACGCAGCACATTCAAGTTATAGTTTATGTTTATTCAAATGAAATAGTTTGTCTCCAATTTATATATATCTATGTATCTATATATTTATTTATATGGGCGAGTCTGGGTGTATATTTATACATTTATTCATATATTTATTTATTTAATTATCCAAACTGCAATGTGGGAAACCAGCAGACCTGGAACAATGGTAATGTCAGAAAATGCCGGGCAAGAGAAAAAGTTGCTAACATTTCAGCCATTACCGCTTTTCCCAGCCTGTTTTTCTAGAGGATGTGCTTTTGATCCCCCCACCCACAAGCAGAATCCAAGCAAATGGATCAGCAAACTTCTCTTTGGGGAAAACGAAGGACGAGGGTTGAATGGAAGAGTCACAAGCTCACAAGGGAATCCTGGAGAAGTGACCTAGGGGGTGGGGTGGGGGGGGGTAGAAAGGGGGCCACTGGTCCTCCAGCTAGCCTGGCAGAGGGGAAGAGGGAGGCGCTGCCTGCAAACCAAGAGCTCATTTCCCCCTTGGCAGAGGGACTTTTCTTTAGAGGGGGGCAGGAACCCCGTTTCCAGAGTGCCACCGTAGCTTACCAAAGCAGACCATGTCTTAACAGTATAGTCAGTGCAATGAATGAATCGGCCGCCCCTTTGTCACAGTGGGGCAATGCCAGAGCAAAGGGATATTCCAGGCCAGCTTCCTCTCTCCAGCCATTCACATTTGGGGTCCTGAGGATGCTCCCACTGCAGTGAAATACAGATACACACATACGCACCCATGCAGCCCTCTTTTTTTCCCCCTGGTTCCCAACATCATCATCCATACCTGGCCTTGGAACCACCTCCTCCTCCCCGCCCCCCCCCCCCCCGTCTCCCCCTTGCTCACATATGCCTAAGAGATTCAGGAAGATGCCGCTATCCTTGGCAGGTTCCCCAGCCTTCATCATAGGCCTGGATAAACACGGGAATGGGGCAACCGACAGACCATTCTCTCCAAGAAAAGGAGGAAAGCAACCTGGCTGGCAGAACAGGGACTCATGCAGAGACGCCGGAGGCCGTCTCCTTCCCAAGCCACAGCCTATCTTTCATCGGTTTCTTTGGACCCAAGACTCAGAATATGGCAGCAATGTTTGTCTGGCGCTTCCACAGAGGCAGAGCCCGGGAGCTCTCTTCCCTGATAAAAATTGATTCTGCATTATAAATTTTCCTTCCCCATAGACAAAAATCAATCCTACAGCCCTCCCCACCCCCCAATTCCCCATGCGCACCCAGCCACTTTGGGACCAAGGCTCTCATGCGCAGCCCTTCTTCCTTCTTCCAGGCGAGCTCCTGGCATCCTTTCCAGGCTGCAGTGACCCCCTTCCCACCTTCCTGCAAGGGATGGAGCATCACCGTAGCAACCGCTTTCCTCCCCACAGCTCCTGACCTGGATTTCTCTGCCTGGATGGGAGGCGGAGGCATCACTGGTGGGAAGCGGCTTGCGCCCCCCCCTTCCACACGGTATGCCCAGGCTGAGAGCCCCTCCCTTGTCCTGGTTTACAACAGGATAGCAGATGATGTGGGGAGCAATACTGCAGCTGACCCTCCTCCAAGCCCGGCTGCAAAGATGCCAAGATGAAGCTGCCAGGGAGAAGGATCCCCAACTAAAAAGCCAGCAGCAAACTCCCCCTATCTCACTTTTACTCTCCAGGATCAATTTTTAAAAATAAAGGAAATCAATCCATGAAGTAAGAACATTCTTGTCTGGAGGAATTCAGAAGAAAAATGGACTGTAAGGCTGAGTATTGTTGTCTTAAAAGTTGACCAACAAAGTCTGGAATTCCTAAAATATCTGCTTTACTGAAGGTGACCAGATTTGGATTCATCCTTCAAACAATGACAAATGCCCACATCCAGTAAGGGCGAAGGGCCACCAACACAGGCCCTCCCTCTCCCAGGGACCCCGTCCCTTGCTGGGCCCCACCTTGACCATCCTTGCTCGGAAAGAACCGGAAGAGACTAACCATCACCTTAGCACTGACGTAAGAGGGGAAGGGAAGGGGCCACCGCCTTCTGGACACACCGCTGGCCTTACATGATGTCGTCCAGGAGGTTGGGACTGGCCACCCAGTCGAGGGTGCGCGGCTCGGAGGCGGCCATGATCATGCACATGAACTGCTTGCCGGTCCTCTTATCCATGGGGTAGATGGTGGTGGGTGTGAAGCGCTTGTTGCTTTCCACAAAGGCACACAGCTGCTCGTAAACCTTCGGGAACTCGTGCCGCAGGAAGACGCCGCGAATGCGCAGCTCGCGCTGGATGTTGATGAAGCAAACTTCTCGCGCTTTGCGTCCTTCCTCGCCGTCCTTGTCCAGGTCGGCTGTGCCGGGAGGAGGCGTCAAGATCAGCGTCTCCATGTCTCGCTCCTTCTTGAGGATCTTCTTCTCGGGGCTGGAGGACGCCAAGGCCATCTTGGCATACTTGCGGACGGTTGGCACCTGTACCTTGGGGGAGGGCCGCTCGGGCACCTCCTGCCCCACCGCCACGGTCACGTTCAGCAGGAAACATTCCTGGGGGTCGTACTGCTGCCCCGCCTCCTGCAGCTCCTGGGCGTACTCCCCAAGGTTGTCTGAATAGCCCTCCAGCTCCCGCAGCGACAGGTAAGTGGGGGACATCAGCAAACTCTCCAGGCCGAACTGCAGGAAGTTCTCGGCAGAGCCTGAGCTGGGGAAGCCCAGGAAGAGCACCCCTCGGCCCCGAGACAGGAAGCCCACCTTGGCGATGCGGGAGAAGGCCTTGTGCACCTCACCATTCTCCCGGCAGAACTGCAGCACGTGGCGGCAGGTGCTGCCAATCCGTCCATAGATGCAGCTCTCCTTGTGGGTGTCCCAGTCCTCCCGCCGGCAATGGCGAGAACAATAGTAGGTGTAACAGCTGTGGCAGGACTTGAAGTAGAGGCAGGCGTTGAACATGGTCTCCGTGCGGCGGCACTTGGCATTGGAGCACATCATCAGGTCGTCCTCGTCAGCGCTGAGATCCGGGGAACAATCCTCCGGGCCTTTCTCCAAGGGCCTGGGGGGCCCCGGGGGCTCGGTGGAGCGGCGGCCCTGGTCCTTCCAAAGGTCAGCATGGAAGGAGCTGCGGCCAGGCTGCTCTTTGGTGGGATGGGGCTCTGAGGACCTCCAGGGGTCCGGCTTCTTGGGAGGCAGCCCCAGCCCATCACTGATCAACTGCCTCAGCTGATCGGCCAGGTTGCTGACCTCGCTGGGCTGGCAGACGGAAGGAGGCTTGTAGTCGATGACCAGGTCGGTGATGAGCTCGTCCAACTGCTCCAGGCTGCGCTGGCGGGCGGTGCTCTCTTTGGTACCAGGGTCTGGGCCGTAGGATTGGTGGGGAACGTAGGCCCTGTCTCGGGCATCCCCTGAATCCAGGACATCCCAACTGGCTGAGCGCCTGTCATGCTTGCCAAGCCCATGGTTGCCTCGGATGTCGTTGTCCGTGATGGTGATCTCTGGAGTGACGAACCAGCCATGGCGCCCCCTGTCAGCATGCATCTTCTCGACGAGGGAGTTCTCCGAGAGGGAAAGGGCAGCGTAACGCTTGGGGGAGCTGGACAGGTTCACCACCACTGGTTGCCGCCGGTCATCGGGGGAGAAAGCCCGATGTGGGTCCCGAGACAGCAGGTTCTCATAGCTACGGCCACGCAGCAGCTGGTCTTCCCGGCGCACATGAGGGGTCAAAATATTGTCCCAGGATTTGGAGTAATGCCTGGTGTCCACACCAAGCCGGGGAGGGCTCACACTGTAGCTGGCGTGCCACGATGACAGCATGGCTTGGGAGGCAGGCTGGTGAGCTGGAAAGCGGGTCATCTGCCAGGCTGGGTAGGGCACCGTCCCCCTTTCGGGGCAGTACCAGTCATTAAACTGCACTGCGGGAGCCATACGGGAGTGGGGGTAAGTGCGAGAGAGGGCTTCCCGCTCGTGGTATTTCCCATAGTCTTCAGTGTAGAAGATGCGTGGGTTGACCCTCAAGGCAGGGTAAGGCCTGGGGTCTTCGGGATACACCGCTTTTGCGGGGAGAGTCCTAGGAGTGTAAAGGCGGGGGTCATCCGCATAGAAAGCCTGAGCAGGGGCCTCCTGAATGGGGAAAGGAGACCTGTTTTCCTCCACCAGAAAGGTCCTCGCCGGAAGAGGGTAGAAGCCCCCTGGGGGAGGCTCTTCTGCGTAAAAGGTTTGCGGCGGGAGGACCTGGCCCCCATAAGCGGGAGGGTAGGACTTGTAGCTGGAACTTTTCTGAGGGAAACTGCCTGGCTCCTCTGTGTAGAAGAACCTCGGGGGCACGTAGGGGATGTAAGGAAGGCAGCCGCTTTCGGGCACAGCAGGACCTCCATCGCAAAATTCAGGGGGGTAGGGGGCCAGCCCTCGGTGTTCCCCACTGTAAGTATCACTGGGTGTGGGAGTCCGAGACATGGGCACTTGCCGGCTGCTGGGCACGGTCAAGCTATGGGGTGTGCCTGGAGGTCGAGGCCAGGGCAGGAGAGCCTCGCCATGGCCCTGTGACCCCTTGGCACTGCGAGCTGCATGCAGTACAGCAGCCTCGTCCGGCTTGATGTCCACCCGGCGCTTGACATGCACACTGGGCGGCGGGGGCCTTGCAGCCAGGGCGGCCTCTTCAGGGCAGTTTGCTCCTGTGACACAAAGAGGCGAGATGCGGCTGCTGCCGGCCCGCTGAGGCTGCAGCTTGATGGGGTGCACCTCGCTCATCAAGGCTTTCATGGAGGCGTAGCTGCTTTCCCGGCGAGGGGACGCTTCTGCCCGCTCAGGCTCTCGGGACACTCGATGGACTTCCCGCCCTCTCCTACTTGGAGCCGGTGGGGAGCCCGAAGCCATGGGGATGACCACAGGAGTGAAGGTGGATTTGACGCGGGGCGCGCTCTTGGATCGGGCCCGTCTCTTGGGCTCGGCTCGGGAAGCCAGTTCCTTCCCCTGGGAAATATAGTTTTCCTGCACAGCGGCCCGGAGAGACACCCTCTTGCCGACGGGAGCCGAGGAGGGTTCTGGCGTGGGGGGCCGTCGGGAATGCCGCTCCATGGCGGGAGTCACAGGCGGTGGGTCGTCGAGAGACTCCAGGAAATCGAAGCTGCGACAGTGTCGCTTGTTGAAGTGTTGGGAAGGCTGGTTCTTCAACGAGGAAGACATGGAGGAGTCACATCGCCTGATGGGCTGGCAGAAGGCAGAGTGGGTGGATCCCACGGAGGCCACAGGGACGTCCTGATACACGGCAGACACCAGGACGTCAGGTGGGTCTGTTCGGGTCATCTTAGAATCAGAGTCCTGCTCGTCTCCAGCCCTCCTCAGATCATCTCAGTGAAGGCAACCAGGCCTGGAAAGAGGGAGCGACAGGGCACTAAGCAGTGGGCCCAAGCACAGCACCCATCGGGGATCGGAGGCAGGCCAAGGGCCGCTCTCACCACAAGCTGTGGCCAGGAGTCCCACCAGGGTAGATGGCTTGTAGGACGGGATAATGAGGACTGGGATCATAGCCAGTTATGGCTGATTCACAAGATGTAGCTCTAGTGAAGGAGCCCCCCCCCCCCCCCTTGGCTCATGTTGTCATCAGCCAAGCATTTTCTGAACCACCGGCAACCTCACCCTATACACCTGCCCTGCTGATTAGAGCAGGACTGGGAAAGCATATAGACTGGCTGGCATTTTTGCTAATATTCACGAGGGAGCAGACACAGAAATGCAAGCTGGTCTCACTCCTAAGACCGCACGGTTACCATGGTTTCTCCTCCCTCTCTCTCTCTCTCACGCACACACAAACCCCTCTCTCTTTTGGGAAGCAATGCATGCTGGGAAATTCCAATGAAGGCCAGGCCAGGAGCAAGAGAAGCTGTGTCCAGTTCAGATACAGACCAAGATCAATCTCTGTCATCCCTGGGATCAAGCAGGGAGGACAGATAAAGGGGGTCACCTATTTTTACTCCCCCCCCGCAAAAGCCTCTTGGTCTTCCCCTTCTCATTGCTGAGCTATGAAAAGAAGAGAAGGTCCCTGAATCAAAGAACTTGCAGTTTCCCCATCAGCCCTGAATCCCAGGGAAACGGAGCGCAGGGGGGGTGGTGGCACGGAGGGCGGGGGGGGGAGCAGGGGGATCTCCTTTCATTCCTGCCCGATGACTCAGAAACCCCCCACTGGGAAACATCCCCCCCCGAATTGCCCATCGAGGAGGGGTGGGGGCCGTCCCAAAGCCCCTCCAGGCCAGAGCCACCCTGGGAGCTCCGGAACCGAAGCGTGACACGGATGCTGCCATCAGCTGGCACTCCAAGCACCGGAGCAGTGCCAGTTACTGTGTTGCCAGGCAACCCTTCCTGCCTCCCCCCCTTGGCCCAGGTGCCTTTCCTGGTGGACCGTCTGGTATCACAGCGCTCGTCCCCTGGAAGCCGGGTCTCCTGGCGCAGGACACCCGAGGCCAGGACTGCCAGCAGGTCCAGCTCCCACTGCTGACCCTTCCCCTGCGGCCATCCTCTCCCCACAGCCCTGCCAGGAGGGCCTCCACTACCATTCCCCTCTGGTGGGGGGGGGGTTGGGGGAATGGAGCTCGCCTAAAGGAACTTCCAGCAGAGGACAATTTCAACCCACAGTGGCCGTTCTGCCTCGGCCAGCCTCTTTACTTCTCCCTCCTCCTCCACTAGTGCCCCTGCAACAAAGAGCATGTGCAAAGGGCTGGGTGGGGGACCAGGTGGGGTTCAGCTCACACACCTGGGGTTCCACCCTTGCGATGTCTAAACTTCACCATCCCCCTCCCCCCTCCCCATTACATACACTCTGCCTGGCAGCTTGGGGAGGAGACGCACTCTGCACGCGCCTAGAAGTGTCTCTCTGTGCCCCACAGCTCAGCAGCCGACCCTTCCGGCCTTTCTTGGCAGGAGACTCTGCTGGAACAAAGCTCCGCTGTGCATCGGAAAGCCTCGGAAGGAAGACGACGCACCAAGCTGCGGAAGGGTTAAGGATAGGAGCACCAGACGCCTTCACCGGTGTGCCCCCCTCCCCCCACTGGCTGCCTTCCACTGGGATGGCACTGCGGATGATGGAGAGGCAGCCCAAGGGGCCTGGCCATCGGGAGGGAATCACGCAGGGCCACAAACGCCCCCTCCCCCCCCCAAATCTGCCTTCTCCCTCACCAACATTGTCTACCCACCTGAGCGAGGCAGAGGAGCGGCTGGCGTAGGAAGGGATGCCCCTCTGCATGCCCAGAGGGATGCCAACACTTGAAATGGGATCTGAGGGGCTCCCTCTTCACAATACGTCATTGCTGGCGGATGGATAGCGATTCAGTAGGAGTGGGGGGGGGGCAGCAAGCTGCTCCCAGATAAAAGAGGCATGGCATCCCCCCCCCCACCCCAGACCTCCTTTGCTGCTCTTTGGCTTGACGGGGGAGGGGGCAGCCCCCTCCCAGTTGCACCGGGGATGCACCGAACTCCCCACTTTCAGGGAGCAGGACTTTGTCCCCACCCCAGCACGCCATCCCCTGCCCCACCTCCCCACTGCATCCCCCTCCACCTCCCCTTCCGCAAGCTCCGGCCTCCTCACCTCGCCTGGGTGCCCGCAGAAGAGGCACCCCCCTCCCTGGCTCCGGCACCTGCTCGGCGGCCGGCACAGACCCCTCCTGGGCTCCGCAGCGCCCCCAGCGGCCACTGGCAGCCCTTAAAGGGGACACATCCAGCGCAGAGCAGGGAGGCAGGAATTCACTGGGAGCAGCTGGCCTCTGTCAGCAGGGCAGAGGAAGGGGAGTTGACCTACAATCTTACAGAGCCCCCCCCCTCCCCCAGCCCTCTTCACTGAATTTGCTTTGGGAAGGGGAGGAACCCAAGCAAAGCTCCCTCCTTCCCAGCCGATGAGAGGAACGGACCTTCCAGCCAAGCCTCTCCTCTCTCACCAATCTTGGCAAAATCGTGCCGGAGAGAAGCCCACGAGCAGAACTGGAAGACTTCCCCCCCCCATCCCTGATCTGCAGGTGCAGCAGGTAGACTGCCTCTGAACCTGGAGATCTTTAACTCCTCCCATGGAAGCCCTGTTTACAGAGTCCTTCAGGAAAAACAGACAAGTAACCCAGGATCCCCAAAAATGCCAGGAACGTCTTCTCGCTTGGCAGGTTCCTCTTGGCACCCCTTGCCCTGGGCAAAGCACCCAGCCAAGGTGCCCACCCCACCCCACCTCCCGGCCCCACTTCTGCTCCCCTCATTCGAGAAGGCTGCCCGGCCTACCCTCCATCAATCACGTCTGCAAGCATAGCTATGGAGCCGGACAGGGTTGGACCCTCCCTTCCTCGGCCAGACTTCTCCTCTGCCTGGAGCCCTGCTTGTCCCAACCCAGCCCCCCCACCCACCCCCAGTGAATCAGAGGACAACCCGTGGCCCCCACACCCAGTAGAGGGAAGGCTGTTTGGACAGCTTGACCAGAAGCCAGCCAAGTCTTGCTCAGGGTGAGGTTGCCAGGAAGAGGCAGTGGGCGAGGGAGGGGGAAGGAAGAGGGCAGGCGGGGAGCGTCCCTCTCACCTGCAACCAGGTAGCCGAAGCTCTGGAGCCAGGAAAGACCGGCCAGCCAAGCTCCCGAAAGGGAAGCCTGAAGTCTACCCTGCCTCTTCTCTTCCCAAGTTAAACTTCCTCCATCTAGGATTCGCCTTCTGGGATCAACCACGTTAACGGGACACGATGGGGTGGCTTGCCCATTCGCTCCAAATGGTTGCACCTGGCATTCATGCTACACTGCTCCTGAATGTGGAAGCTCCCATGGCTACAGAAGAGGCTCCCCAACATGTATCATGCTGTGAGCGGCAGAGGCTCCTTAGCACCGGGCATCCTGCCCTCCTGTGGGCTCTCTCTGGGGACAGATCAGCACCCCACTGCCTCTAAACTCACCACAAACCAGGAGGACCGGTTGGCCCACACCAAAATCTGTCAAAAAGCAAATCCCTCTTCTTCGTATGACTTCAGTCCCCGAGCAGCTGCCAACCAAGACAGGCAGAGCTGATCTAGAAGCCTCTCCAGCATCTGCCACCCACGGCCCCTTTGGGAAGGTGGGCCTCCCGAGTCATCCTCCACCTGCCCAGCCTACAGCCTGTTCAGGATGAATCATGAAGCTTGGAAGGAAAACTATTCCACCTTCAGCGGAGAAATGGATGGAAACGGCTTGTTTAATCTGCTTGGACGAAAACACCACCCACCCCCCACCCCCAGCACTTTAAAACGGCTGCAGGAGCCCACAGGCCAGCTCACGTTAGGGTTGCCGGGTTCCACTCGCAGATGGCGTCTTTGGCTGCCTGGGTACATCCAGCTGACCCCTAGGCCTCCGCTTCGGGGCTTGCAGGGACCTGCTGAATCCTCACCCTCACAAGCTGGCCACAAAGTCCAGGGCTCCGGGTTGCCACATGATCCTGCTGTCAGGCCTTGTTGCTGTTTGACCTACCAGCCATTAAGGAGCAGAAGAACACGGCTGTCAGGCCATCTGGCTCCCGCCTTTTAAATCTGGGGGCTGGATCAGGATGGCTCGTGGGGGGCGCACGAGCGGCAGAGAAAAGCTCTGGGCACCAGGTGGCCTCTTGCTTCTCACCAAGCAGGGATCCCTCTAAGGCTCACTTGCTTGCAGGGGGAGGGGGGAGCTCAGCCCGGGTGGGATTAAGTGGCAGGGATGGCAGCAGTCAAGAGGAAGAACCACCGGGAATCGCCCAGCCTTTTATCTGGAGCTGCACAGCACAAAGCCCATCGTCCACCGCCATCCATCACCCTAGGGAAAAGGGGAAGAACGTCTTCTGCAGCAAGGAAGGAGACCCGGAACTGCAGGCTGTGGAAGAGGCTACAAGCTTGGTGCGGTCAGTGGTGGCGATGCACCTCTGGCACTTCCTCCCAAGGCGGCTGGGAGTCCGGAGGTCGTCTTTTGCCCATGCAGCAGGTGTGGGACGCGGAAACCCCCGGGACACGCGCTGGGAAGCACCGCTTCCTTGCCAACCCCATAGAAGCACCCACTTCCGACACAGGGCGAGAGGCAGGCCAGGAGCACCAAAGGTCCGGCAGCTGCTACTTCGGAAGCCGCCTGGTCACCTGGCGAGATGGGCGGCATAGGAGATAACACAGACCCCTCCTGCCAAGCAGTTTCCCACAGGATTCACACCCAGGCCCTGAAGAGGAGACCCGGCCCATGTTCAGCCAGAGCGCAGACAAGAGGCAAAGGCCTGCCGAGCATAGGCTCGGCCCCCCAGAAGCAGCAGTGTCAATGGCACCCACCCCCTTCCTGCACAGCTGGAAGGGGCATGCCCAAAACTGCCTGGGGCCCAGCTTCAACCTGCTGAAAGCTGCGGGCCACCCTCTTGGGAAACGGCCGCTCATCGGGGTCTGCCGCGGCCGACTGCCCTGCTCACCACTGCCAGGCAAGTCCAGAGATTCTTGCAGTTTAAGCCAGCCGACGGCTGAATGTCATGGGATTCAGGAGCGTCCCTTGAATGGGCCGGTAGGAGGCCGACTGGGTTTACGGCAAGACACGGCAACCCAGGTGCCTGCCAAGCACAGGAGCCCTCGACCCCCAGGGTTATGGTCTTCAGAGGAAAGGGCCCTAGCTTGGTGAGTGGACCCATGGCGGTCTCCCAGGAAGAGAACACACAACCCATTGTGTTCCCTTAGCTTCTTTGTGGGTGACAAGGTGGGGAAGAATCCCACCAACCGCTCCTCTCCCCTCCCATCCTCCTGGGGACCAGAGCACCATCTTCTACCTGGCAGGTTACCACAGCAACGCCAGCAGTGGTGGGTGGCAGCACGGGATGGCAAGGGAAGCCTGGAGCTCAACAACTTAACTGACAACAAAAAGACACACGCGGTCACTCACCCTTCCTGCACAAAATACAAAGGCTAGCTCTGCTGGACAGCTGGAGAAAGGCCAGGAACAAGGGCTGGGGGGGGGCATCTGCAAAACAGGGGCGCTTTTTAAAATTAGGCAAAAAAACACAAACTGTGATTACAAGAACTGTAGTAAATGCTTGTGAAGAAACCCATTTCCCCCAACACAAGGATTTCTCCTGCCTCAGGGCACCAAGGAGGAGGCGCCCTGGAGGGCACCCTGAGGAAAGAGCCCGGGAGGAACAGGCCAGGCCAAGCCCTTTCCCAACCAGGCAGAGATGGCTCGGCTCAGGATGGGGTCTCTAAGCACGTATGCACACGCACGCACGCACGCACGCACACACACACACACACACACACAGAGCCAGAAGCAGCCTGGATCCAGTTGAGGGATCACCCAAAGAAAGGAAACCAGACACAGTTGTACAACCGAGAGAGCTTTATCAGCTGGAATGAGGAGTGCATCACTGGGACTTTTTCCCAAAAGCAAAGTGAAAAAGAGAATAAAAGAAAAGGGAAGTGAACAGCACAAGGCTCAGTTGCCAACTGCATTCCAGAGACTGGGCTCCTGGGGTGGGGTGGGGGGTATTCGTGGGGGAAGGAGGAAGGGGCCTGGGAGGCTTGGGGGGAGGCAAGAGGTCAAGAGTGGGTTTGTCATACACACCCTCCCCCCAGGGAGCGCAAGGAGAGAGGCCAGAGGCCCTGGGAGCACTACCTGTGCCATGCAGGCTGCTTGAGGCCAAGGATGACCCCAAAGGGGGAGGGGACGCAGAGGGGAGGAATGTCAAAACAGCCCAACTTTAATCCACACCTAGAAACACAAGGGCACAACGGAATGCACCGGAATGTGTGGCTGCTTTTCCTTGAGGTCACTGGAGGCAAAGAGCGAGGCCAGGAAGGCGAGTGAAGGCGCAAGGGGGAGGGGGCACAGAAAACACGGCACGGGTGGGACTAGCCGCTACCAAGAGCTGGCTGGATTTCAGGGCAAACACATGCAGCAGTGACTGGGAGACAGGGATTCGGAAAGGGTGGGGGGGGGGGGTAGCCTCAGGAGGAGGGGGCCAGGAGGGGGGGAACCACCCCCGCGCCGGCGGGGGGGGGGGGTAGCCTCTTTTCCACGGACGCCCAGCTGCATACAGGCTTCCAGGGTACACAAAGTGGGACAACTGAGGAAAGGGCAGGAAGGAGGAGGGGGCACTTATTTCTCTCCCCCAAATTCCCAGAATAAAGCCACATTATTCAAAAACACCCCCACCCCCACCACATGGAAGGCCTCTGCCCCCCTCCACACACACCTGGCTGGGACCCTGCAACTTTCCAAGCTCTAAGGGGAGCCACTGGTCCAGAGCCGTTTCTCTCGTAAAAAAAATAGCACGGATCCATCGTTCGACGGGCAGCGGCCACTTTGTGTGGGACACGATGCGGCCTCCGAGGGCAGCCCCCCCTTTGGGCCACCTCTCAGGAGCCCAATCCCAGGGCTCCCGGCTGAAAGGACAGAAAGGCTCGGGGCTTCTGAGCCACTCGCAGGCCCCTCCTCTGGCTCCAGCCACTCTTGCAACAGGCAACAGAGAAAGGCAGGGAGGGGCGGTGATGGTGGGCTGGGGCCGCCTGCCCCGTGCACCTGGCTAGGGAGGGGCTACAGCTCCTCATAGTCTCCACCCCCCCGCTGCTTGCTGGCCCCAGCACCGCCCCCGAGGAAGGCCTCCAGCTCATTGATCCCGTTGGGCTTCGCTTTGCCCCGCTGGTGCTGCTGCTTGGATGGCTTCCTCTTCTCCTTTTCTCCTCTATCCTCCTCCTCCTCCTCCTTGCTCTTCTTCGGCTTGCTCTTTTTCCTCCCTGAAATCTTCTCTGCTTCTTCCTGGAACAGCAGTTGGGGAGAAAGGGTGAAACAGGGGGGACCCCATCCCCCAAGCAGCACCCGAAGAGGCCCAAGGCCACCAGCCCCGCAGAGCGTACAAGCCGAGGAGGAGCGCATCCAAAGGCAAGGACTGCTCTGGGTTAAAAGGGGGCCTTTTGTGTGGGCTGCTCTGAGCAGTGGCTGGGAATCTGTTTTGCCAGCATGGCTCACTTTGGGGGCTTAGCTCAGAAACATTTCTTGCCCCTTGTACCAGGGGTGAAATGCTACCGGTTAGGACTGATTCGGGTGAACCGGTAGCGGAAATTGGGGCTGGTTCGCCGAACCGGTAGCAATCGCTCGCTGGCCATGCCCACGAACCACTCCACAGCCTGCAATCCTGCCATGCTTCCCTGCCTTCCTGGCATCCCTGAGGCCAGCTTGCGAAGGCAGGCAAGTGGAAGGCCACGTGGAAGGCAAGCAAGCATGACAGAGCTGCGGGAAAGGGAGCTAGCAGCCTATTTTATTATTATTATTATTATTATTTTTTATTTATATGCCGCCCTTCTCCGGAGACTCAGGGCGGCTTACAATGCGCTAAGCAATAGCCTTCATTCTTTTTGTATATTTATACAAAGGCAGCTTATTGCCCCCACAACTGGGTCCTCAATTTACCTACCTTAGAAAGGATGGAAGGCTGAGTCAACCTTGAGCCTTGGCGAGATTCGAACCTGCAGTAATTGCAGGCAGCTGTTCTTAATAACAGGGTGCTTTAGACCACTGTACTACCAAGGCTATTCCCTTCCCCGCAGCTCTGCCATGCTTGCCTGCCTTCAATGCTGCCTTCCCGGCGGTCCCTCACGCCTGCTTGCCTTCCGAGGTCAGCATCCAGCCCGGCCAGTGGGTGGGCGGGCAGCCCTTGGTGGAGACGCCGCCACTGCGCTGCCCCGGGACATGTGCAGCAGCCCCAGGGCCGGGACATCTGTCTGCCCCCCCAGAGCACCACTGCTGTGCTGGCACCCTCTCAGCCACGGAGCAGTGGCTACATCTCTACCAAGGGCCGCCCGCTGTCAGCCTTACCAACGCACTGGCTCCGCTAGGCATGCTGAATACGCCGGCAGAGCATCTAGAAGATAAGGCTGACGCTGGCAGCGGAGGGGGGGGCGGCGATGGAGACCCGCTGCGCTCGGCTCCTTGGAGGGACATGGCGAGGCTTCCTCGCCTTTTGGGCCTGATGTGCTTGGCTTCCGCAGGGCCTTTGGCTGACTGCCGCCCACTTGCCTTCTTCCCCTCTGCCTCGGGTCCTGCCTGCCCTCCCGGAGCACCGCCATTCGCTTTCTCCCTTCTCCTGCCGTGAAACGAAACCGAACGGCAGTGGGGTTGCTTCAGGAAGTTGCTTCGGGAAAGAGGAGGTCTGCAGCCAGGCGGGGAGGGAAGTGAGAACGGCGGCGGCAGGAAAGGGAGAGCCAAGATGAAGGGCTACCCGCACTGGCCTGGCTAGGTAAGTGCTGCCGCCCAGGCCAAAGGGAAAGCGCTGCGGGCTCTGTGGTGGCATGGCTGGGCCTGGCCCTCTCCACGCCCTGGGGGCTTCTGCCCCTCTTGCTCTGCTTCTTCGCCACCGGCAAGCGGCAGCACAGCTGAGCCTCCTTCCCCCAGAACTCCAGACTCTGCGGGCCGAGTTCCTGGAGTGGCGCCGGTGGTCAAAGAGAACAGACAGGTGGCTGGGTGGGAATCCAGTGGGCTGCTTCAGAGCCCCAAGCCCCACAGAGCCGGCACGGGAGGTACGGGAGGAAGGCAGACTTTTCTGCAGCATCCCCCTCCCCTCTTTGAATTGCCCTGCAGGGGGGGGGATTCTGCCTTTGCAGAAACAAGGCGGGCGGTTTGTATGGAGAATTGGCGGGGGTGATGTGTGGCCCTCCGGGATGGAGAGCGGGGCAAGAGAAGGCTCCGAGATTCGCTTGGGCAGTCAAGCCAGATGGTGGAAGGAATCTCAAAGCATTGGGAGCTTCAGAATGTGCAGCTCCTGGCTCTAACAGTGAGTGACGTATGTGATGTCAAGTTGGCCACGCCCACTCAGTCACATGACCAAGCCACACCCACCAAGCCATGCTCACAGAAGCGGTAGCAACCATTTTTAGATTTCACCGCTGCCCTGTACAAACACAGCTATACAGGCTGACCCACCTCTTTGCTAGTTCTCTTCTTCTTCTTCTTCTTCTCTTTCAAAGACTGCTTTTCTTTCCCTGCAGCTGGGAGGAGGAGAAGGGGCATGAAAAAGGAGGGTGAGCTTCCAACCAGACAAGAGGACAACCTGCGGCAGCATGAAAAGCCTCCAACTGATACCACGTTTAATGGGGAGGATGGGCCTTTATGGCAATGCACAGCTGGGGAAAAGCACTGTGGCCCTCAGAGCCCTCGGTGGCACGCAGCCTTATCCGCAAGGCAGTCCAGTCCCTTCGTCTGGTCCCACGGTCTGACTGTGGCCAAGGCTCCTCACCTTCCTCGCTGCTGTCTCGGCCCACCGGTTTATCCAGCCCCAACCCAAAGAGATCGGCCTCATCCTTCACTCTGAAGGAGCGGATCACGGGCTTGGGCAGCTGGGCAGGTCTGGAAGGGGGATCCTCCTCGGAGAGGTCTGAGAGATCCTCTCGCACTGGAAATTCCTCCTAGAGGCAAAAGGGAGAAGGCCCCTCAGTGCCCACTGCCACCCCCTTGCCAAAACCCCAAGGAAGCCCCTCTTCGGATCCACCTGTGCTTCCTTGGGTCAACAAGAGCACCGGCCCACCCACAGAAGACATGTGATGGACCGAACCGAGGGCCCAGCATAAAGCCTCCCAGGAGGGCCCCCCACCTGATGCTCAGAGATGACATAACACTTTGCTTCAGTCTCTCCGCCCCCACCCACCCCTCCCAAGTCTAACCCTTCCACACCTACAGTGAGGGGAGGCCAGGGACTTACTGGGTGCTTGCTCTGGCTCTCTGACTCCTCGCTTTCAAAGTCCGGATCGTCCATCACAAAGGAGAGCATCTGCGTGGCGAAGGGCCCCTCCGAGTCGCTCTCAGACTCCTGCTGCTTTGAGGCAGAGGGCGCTGGAGGCAGACGGGCCTCAGGGGGGCCAGCTGCTATCAGACGCTTGCTTTGCTCAAGTGGGGCTTGGCCGGTGGGAGATTTCAGCTCTGTGGATGTGGGAGGTGCCAAGGGCTCTGGGAGTTTCAAGGACTTTTTGGAAGCTCTGGAAAAGAAGGAAAAGGAAAGTGAGGACAGTGCCTGGAGGCCTCAGTCTATGCTTGATGTGGTTCTGCAGAAACACAATCTGGTTCAGCGGCTCAGTCAACAATACTTGCGTTGAAAAGAGGGAGCTGCCGGTTTTTCCGTATCACACACAAATATCTAGCTCCCATTTACGCTTGGCACAGAATCTTCAATATTTTGGGTTGAAATCTAGAGGATTTCATGTGACAAGCAAAAAACGCACGGGGCAAAATTCCACAAACCCTGAATCTGAAAAGTTAACAACCCCTAATTCTTTCTTCCTTCCTTGCAATATCTGTCAAGAAAGAGCTTTTAAGGTTTTTCTTACATACGCATTTCCTAACATATATACACATGAGCTGAATTTCCTAGCTGCTATATTTTTGTTTTTAAAGTTTGCCACATTATGTTACAGTTTTATTGAAGGCTTAATTAAAAGTTTAAATAATATATTTTAAACTGAACCGCAATGGTTGTTGACTTGCTAAAGCTGGACCCAAGAACTTCTGGTCCTCTACACATTGCAGTACACAGCTCCCTTTCCCTACACATCTTGCTATGGGCCAAACCAGCGAGGGCTGCTGGGAGTTGTAGTCACCAATATCCCACAACTCCCAGCGCTCCCTTTACCGTTTTTTTTCTTGTTCTAAGGCAGCATCTACCGCTCCCACGATAGAGAACTTGGAGGGTTCTTCTTCCTCACTCGACAGGTTCACATTTTTGCTCGGGACCAGCTCTGCTGCTAACGGGGGCTTGCTGAAGAGACGCTCGTCAAGGTCCAGGTCATCCTGGAAGCCAGCCACCAAGGGGTTCCCACCAGGAGCATCTCTGTCACTGCAAGAAAAAAGTCAAGGGCGATGACACAGCCTGCAGGCAGGCAGTAGAAAAAAGCTTGAGAGACAGTCTTCCTCCTGAATTTCCTCCTCCGGCTGATGGGGGACCTTCCCAG